TGACTTCAAACACCTCATTATTCGTCGGAAGAAATTTCATCCACTTCTTCCTTTTACTGTTCATCTTTTTAGTGACTTCAAACACCTCATTATTCGTCGGAAGAAATTTCATCCACTTCTTCCTTTTACTGTTCATCTTTTTAGTGACTTCAAAACACCTCATTATTCGTCGGAAGAAATTTCATCCACTTCTTCCTTTTACTGTTCATCTTTTTAGTGACTTCAAACACCTCATTATTCGTCGGAAGAAATTTCATCCACTTCTTCCTTTTACTGTTCATCTTTTTAGTGACTTCAAACACCTCATTATTCGTCGGAAGGAATTTCATCCACTTCTTCCTTTTACTGTTCATCTTTTTAGTGACTTCAAACACCTCATTATTCGTCGGAAGAAATTTCATCCACTTCTTCCTTTTACTGTTCATCTTTTTAGTGACTTCAAACACCTCATTATTCGTCGGAAGGAATTTCATCCACTTCTTCCTTTTAGTGTTCAGCTTTTTAGTAGTGACTTCAACCACCTCATTATTCGTCGGAAGAAATTTCATCCACTTCTTCCTTTTAGTGTTCAGCTTTTTAGTGGCTTCAACCACCTCATTATTCGTCGGAAGAAATTTCATCCACTTCTTCCTTTTAGTTTTCAGCTTTTTAGTGACTTCAACCACCTCATTATTCGTCGGAAGAAATTTCATCCACTTCTTCCTTTTAGTTTTCAGCTTTTTAGTGACTTCAACCACCTCATTATTCGTCGGAAAAAATTCCATCAGCTTTTTAGTGACTTCAACCACCTCATTATTCGTCGCAAAAAATTTCATCCACTTCTTCCTTTTAGTGTTCAGCTTTTTAGTGACTTCAACCACCTCATTATTCGTCGGAAGAAATTTCATCCACTTCTTCCTTTTAGTGCTCAGCTTTTTAGTGACTTCAACCACCTCATTATTCGTCGGAAGAAATTTCATCCACTTCTTCCTTTTAGTTTTCAGCTTTTTAGTGACTTCAACCACCTCATTATTCGTCGGAAAAAATTCCATCAGCTTTTTAGTGACTTCAACCACCTCATTATCCGTCGGAAGAAATTTCATCCACTTCTTCCTTTTAGTGTTCAGTTTTTTAGTGGCTTCAACCACCTCGTTATTCGTCGGAAACAATTCCATCAGCTTTTTAGTGACTTCAACCACCTCATTATTCGTCGGAAAATATTTCATCCACTTCTTCCTTTTAGTGTTCAGCTTTTTAGTGACTCCAGCCACCTAACTACCCGTCAGAAGAAATTTTATCCACTGCTTACTTTTAGTGTTCAGCCTTTTAGTGTTTTTTTAATTTTTCACCTTAGGGAACACTTCAACTTCCGTTTTCCCTCCACTTCATCCGTTTCTTCCTTCAGCCTTTTAGTGTTGTCCGTATTTTCCATACCATGGCCGCTACAGCCAAACCTATTACGACTGATTTTTTAGCTGCCACAAACCAAGGACGAGCTGCCGTTACCTCGGCAGCAAATTGAAAACCAATGGCAGGTAAAATTTTGCTGTCATAACCACAGCAGGTGGACCGTAAAGACAGAGCTATGGTGACAAATATTGGCTATGTTGTAACGTTTTTCTTATGGATACAGTTTTGATGAATTTGGGGTTAGGGTTAGGGTTTAAGTAGATATAATTTCGCATTATCAATTAAAATCAGGTACTTTAATTTGTGAATATACCGTTAATACTGATTACTGAATAGCGCTATAAAACCATGGCAAGAGCTGCTGCGGTTAGTTCGTGGCAGCAGCTGCCATGAAGTGGTAAGAATCGCGCCTCCAATCGTCTGCTCACCCGAAATCGCAAGTGCAGTTTTAAGTATTCTGTGGCGTCTGCAGCAGCCGCAAAACCATGGTGGTATTTCCATACCTTGGCCGCAACAGCCAAACCTATGGCGACTGACTTTTTAGCTGCCACAAACCAAGGACGAGTTATTGAGGCAGCAAATTGAAAACCAATGGCAGGTAAAATTTTGCTGTCATAACCACGGCAGGTGGGCCGTAAAAACAGAACTGTCCCTTATGGTGACAAATATTGGGTAAGTTGTAACGTTTTTCTTATGGATACAGTTTTGATAGATTTGGGGTCAGGGTTAGGGTTTAAATAGATATAATTTCGCATTATCAATTAAAATCTGGTATTTTAATTTGTGAATATACCGTTAATACTTATTACTGAATAGCGCAATAAAACTACGGCAAGAGCTGCTGCGGTTAATTCGTGGCAGGAGCTGCCATGAAGTGGTAAGAACTGCGCCTCCAGTCGTCTGCTCACCTGAAATCGCAAGTGCAGTTTTAAGTATTCTGTGGCGTCTGCAGCAGCCGCAAAACCATGGCCGCTACGGCCAAACCCATGGCGACTGACTTTTTTGCTGCCATAAACTAATGACGAGATGCCGTTACCGAGGCAGCAAATTGAAAACCAATGGCAGGTAAAATTTTGTTGCCGTAACCACGGCAGATGGGCCGTAAAGACAGGACTGTCCCTTATGGTGACAAATATACATATTGGGTAAGTTGGAACGTTTTTTTTATGGATACAGTTTTGATGGATTTGGGGTTAGGGTTCAAGCAGATATAATTCCGCATGATCAATTAAAATCTGGTACATTAATTTGTGAATATACCGTTAATACTGATTACTGAACTTGTCTTGCCGCTAGGCGCTTCGTCATTTGCTCTATTGTGTTCACTCACCTAAAATAGTGTGTGAAATATTTCCATTATTTTAGGTGAGTGAACACGTACCACTTCTTCTTGGCAAAACCTTCCATCTTGTATACATTCTGTACGTTTCAAACCGTATCTAAGGTTTTGTTTGCTCTCCTGATTTCATAATCAGTTTTTATTTTTTACCAATCATTTTATTGTTATGCTGATTATGAAGTCGAAATAAACTTATACTTAATATACTTATACTTGTTAATATCGCGGTCGGACCCAGAGTCATATTTTCAAACTTGGAGTCGAAATATAGAATTGAATCCGCGTTTGGAATTGACATTATGTTAAAAATCGAGGTCAGAATTACCGACAACTTGCGAAGCATCAAATTTACAAGTTGAAAAAAGATTAGAATGCCGACCGTCGTCAGGTACGAATGTGGTTCCGTGGCTATGTTATACTGTTTAATTATTATGCAGATACTGTTAAATATTTCAGGCAAATATAAATAAATACTTCGAGCGAAGATTTCACAGAACATGAATTCGACATATTCATGGTTTGGACCCGCACAGTTTGCTGAAGTTTTCATTGTTTTGCATTTTGCTGGAATCAAGTCGACTCACGCATTGTTTAGACCCGTATAGACCGGCCCGTGTTCTTTGACTGTTCTTGGTGGGCGGGCGCGTACTTGTACGTTTTTAACTTTGTCCCCAAGCTATGCCCGTCCTCTGCATTTTGTTTGTTCGTTTGTTGTTGTTTTTTAAGCCAGACTGACTAAAATTGATTGATTAAGACCCCAGCATTTTTAATCAGTTCATATTTGACCACATATTGAACGAAACCTCGGTTCTTGTGTGAATATCGAACATTAAAATTGCTAACGGATCACTAGAGTCATAACTGAATTTAAAAATAATTGTGCAATTCAGGTATCTTTTGTACAAAGCCTCAGCCACTAATGCAAAAATGCAAGATTTCAGAAAAAAAAATATCTCGGCATGTTTCAAACTACACAATTAATAATTATCGAGTTAGGGTTAAAATGATTTGAAAATTTGAATTTTCAACGCAATCTGCATTACTAACTCTAATAGATAATTGCTAATTTTCTTATTTTGAGGGTTGACGGTTGCATTGCGATAAAGATCCCAATTTAGGGGTCACTGGGTTTCAACAAACATTCTTTGATTGATTATATCTTACTTCAAGTGCACTTGAGTCGTTTGTAGTTTTTCCTGGAAAAACCGCAAATATTGGGTTCAAAAAACGACTGTGAAATTTGAATTACCAACGCAATCTGCAGTACTCAAACGTTCTTTGATTGATTATATCTTACTTCAAGTGCACTTGAGTCGTTTGTAGTTTTTCCTGGAAAAACCGCAAATATTGGGTTCAAAAAACGACTGTGAAATTTGAATTACCTACGCAATCTGCAATACTCAAACGTTCTTTGATTGATTATATCTTACTTCAAGTGCACTTGGGGCCGTTTGTATGTTTTCGCATATACTCGGTTTGAAAAACTATAGTCGGGTTTAAGAAGGGGTACTTTAAATTGAGAACGTTTGTTAATTTTATTCAAATTCGCAACTTCGGTGAGATGCGGGCACAAACAGGCCAGTTAGGGAGAAAAATTGGGAGTTCAATGATTCACAAAATTTTTAGCTTGTGGTTTACTAAAAAAAAATGAAAAGTTCGGTCACAATTATTATGAAAGAAAGCTTTCAAAACAAATCTTCAGTGCGATGAGTGTGCCTGTTCGTGAGAGTGAGATACAGGTTCTGTCAGCAGACACGCACTACTTCAACATTCCAAAATCCGTATTGGTAGAGCCACGAAAATGCGAATGGCAATTTGATAAGTCGGAATCGATCATTGGTCAAGATTTATAAGCAGATATCCAAAGCTTTCCACTGAGACTTCCAAAACTGAATACCGAGCAGAGGTAGTTGAATATAAGTTGCAGAAAATATTTTCGAAATTTTAGATAAGAAGTGTTATGTTTATTCGAACTAAACGCAAGTCGAAATTTCAGGTTTATCTCGAGGAGAGGAAAGTTGATAAGACGGCTCGATAATATGGCAAACTACGTTAGGTTACCAAGTATTGGAATCGTTGACCAGTTATTTTTTCAGATGCATGGACTTGGTGATGAGAAATCCGTAACCGACCAGCGGTTACTTGAACCACCCTACGGCGGAAAGAAGTCCAGCAGTCCTCTCGCACATAACTATCTTCCTCGGGATTCGAAACTTCCCCAACATTGTTTTAAAAATATTTACACTTTATACAACGTATTCTGCACAGCAATATTTAATAACCTTGTACGATGGAAAAAACCATGGCAGTTCTACTGCTGGTAATTTATCACATGGCAATCTTTGTGGTCGCCCAACAATCGGTCCCGTTCCCGTCAAAAGGGGGGGATTCCTGCAACGTGGTACAAGTTAACTGCGGACCTGTTGCTTCTGGTAACGGTGAAACCGTTTCTCCAAACCACGGACTCCCTGGCCCTCCCGGAGAACGTGGCCCGAAAGGAGATCCGGGCTTTAGAGGCTCTCCGGGATTTCAAGGGGTTAGAGGCACAAAAGGAATGATGGGACCGGTTGGATCGCCCGGAGAAAAAGGAAGTGCGGGTGAAAAGGTCAGTTAATACTAATTACCGAAAACAGTAGCCGGAAGAACTGAAAAAAGTTCAAAATGATTTGAACGAACAAATCACTGAAATTGAAATATTTTTTGCTTTGCCCAAGTTGTGGGGTCTCATTCTCAACTATTGACCCAACTCGGCTGTTCTCAATTCTGTCACTTAATTGGAAGAGGAAAATTCAATGAATAATAAGAGGTGTCTAAACTTGAGTTGACATAACTTTTATTTAATTGAAGCGAGTAACAATGCTAATTTATGTTTTATACTTCCGTAGTGTATGTACCAGGATAGGATTAGGCCATAACTTGATTCCAATTTTCTTTGTTTTAGTTATATTACGAGTTCGTGGACTGTCTGTGTAAGCCAAGTGAATATACCCCCTGCCCATAGGCTTTAGTACCTTTACACAACTTGAAGTAAAGTAGGCAAGCAAAATTAGTTACCATCATATTGTTTCTCATACTTCTGGACGCCTTATTTTATCCACAACTAATATACAGTTTCGCATACTACAGTGTAGCATACTAGATTGAATTTCCCACCATTTTTTGCGGAGCTAAAGCATTTACTTTTCTTTAAAATAATTATCAGTGTATCCACGAGACAAAAATATATGAAGATTTAAAAAAAAAACTTCAGTCGTGTGGCATTCATTAAATCATAGCAAGTGTTTCCATGAGTGAGTCATACTAGGTCGGACTAAGACACAGTCGGGAGCGTGCACTGGTGCGGGCTAGGTCACGAAACCGCGACATGATATACTTAATTATAAGCGAAAATATCGCATATTGAAATGCCAGACCTTACAACTGCCAGATTTAAAGCCAAGTGACGCATGAAAATGACGCATAAGCGCCTCAAACACTAGGACTCAGTAGGGCAAAGACCCGGTTCAGAAATGGGACTTTCTAGGACGCGCCATGACGTCACCACCTCATTGACCATATAAGGAATGCGAGTCCTTGTCTGCCCTAGTAATATTGCCCATGGAATATGGATACACACTTATTATCAATCGTTATTCTCTATAATTGCATATAGTTTCAGGAGCTGTTTTTGGCTTTTTACTGATTGTCCGTAACTTTGCTCATATCTGAGCTTTTTTTTATTTATGAGTGAGTGCGCGTGAAACAACACCATGATTTCATACAGTTTCAGTTTAGCCTTCGAAATTTAGATGGTTCTCCAAAATTTAACTCAATAGCCGTTTCTCTTGATTCTTATAATTCTCGCAGATTTTTCCTCCTCTGTAACTTTGCTCAGAAAGAGCTCCTTTACTCCCGAGAGAGTGCGCATATTTTCTTATAAATAAATATTCAATTGCAGGGTCAACAAGGAATAAAAGGTGCGAAAGGAACCGACCTCAACTACGTGAGAATGCAAAAGTTGATGAGTGAGTTGTTCTTTATTTTATCAAAACTTCACTTGAGTGCATTTTCACAAGCAGGGCTTCAGGACTTAAGCGTCAGTGGTTTCAACCTGTTGTACCCGAACCCCATTGAAATTCCCCAGAAAAATCTCTGTGTAAAAGTTTTTCTGAATTGTATAAATATGCGGCGTACCCAGAGGAAGGGAGAAGGGGGCTTCTGAGGGGCCAGCCATTTTTTCTTACGTCTTTTCCAAGACCATTTTGCTCTATTCTTGGACGATTTACTGAAAACTGACTTGTCCGGTCTTGCTGTCAATATTTCAACTACCAAACGAACCAACCAAGATAGATGGAAATGCGCGCGTATATGCTTTCGATAACTTTGATAACTTTGACTTTGATATCAATGGTTGCTTTTATCTAACCTTGTTACGTCATCATACAAAAATGGTCCCTGTCCAATTTTGGTCTGGCGACGCTTTTGTATTGTATATAATCATGGCATAACAAAATGATCTTTAAAATTTAATAAGTTTTCTAGATTAACCATTAATAACGACTCCATTTTGTTTGACTGCCGTTAAGATTTGGCGGATTTTCGTCGATATATTTTATTTGTTCAGTCAGTGCATTTCTGCTAGAAAAATAAACTTCTTTCGTGCCAATTATGTGGCTTTGCAGTACATGGAATCGTGAAACCGCACCGCTACGTGCGCACGTAAAATATGTTTATATGTAAACACAGGGTGGATTGCGATTTTTCTCAAAAACCAATACTTCAGAGTTTAGACTTCCTATGATGACGTTGTTGAAAACAATTTTGCTGGCATTCGACTTGTAATTTTTCTACAAATCATCGCTTTTCATCGGCAATTTGCTTTCAGTATATCTCGACAGTGTTGAAGTGCCGATATCTTCCCACTATTAGGATTTACATAAATAGTATTCTAGAATCAGTTTCATGTAGGCACGAGTCGTTAATTCGACTTAAGTTGAACTCAATCGAGTGACTTAACGAAATGATATGGATTTAACTAACCGACATTGAGTTCAAAGATAGACTTGTGACTCGGTTTTGAAACTGTTACTGAACGTCTTAGATTCAACATTTGTTGTTTTAGGTGCGACCAGCTGTCAGGAATTGAACGAGGTCCATGGAGTCTCAGCCAATGGTTATTATCCGTTAAGATCGAACGGTAGCGGACACCTGGTCTCTTATTACTGTGACTTCGGAATTTATGAAGGTTCGTACAAATGCTCGGTACCGACCACAGAAGGCAAATAATTTCGTTGAAGTTTTAAAATCGAGTTAAAAATAGAGTACGGTATATTTAGCTCTAATCATAAGCATCTTTATTTTTTTATATGGCATTTCACTCTGAAAACGGCTCTGTATTATGTATGGGATTCAACCCAAGATGTATAACCCGCGCTTTATTGCGGTCTGAAGCCTTTTTCGTAGTAGCTGTCTACATCTCAATGACTGCTTGTCTAACGCCTAGTTCGGTGTGAAAAGAGTGTATAACTTAATATTGACAGCTATTCTGCTTTTTTTCAGGCGTATCTACTTGCAAAGAACTGGTATCGTGGTATGGGATTTCGACATATGGTTTTTATCGTCTCAGAATCAACTCCACGGAACACCCGAAGTATAATTACTGCCCAGGTATTTCGGCGCCTCCGAAGTATGTGCACCAAGATGGCGCACAACCTGAATCCTAACCTGGTATACATACTACGTTCAGGTTGTGCGCCATCTTGGTGCACATACTTCTGGAGGTCCGGTATTTCTATATATCAAGCCTGAATATCAATGCTAAACGGCTTAAACGACAAAAGCTCGAACTTTCGCTTCGACAGGGGATACCTAGCCAGTATGCTCTGTTTTTTTTTTTTTTAGGAGTGGCGTTTCCAAATTTATGGGAGAGGCCGTGGTTCGATATGACGAAGCCGGGTTATCGGCCTTCTTCTCTTCCGGTATAAATGAGTTTTAAGAGGAATTTTGACTCCAACTACATCCTGAACTCCGAGAAAATCAAATTTTGGCAACAAATAGTTTGGCATATATTCAAGCCTTCTTTTATAGATTATTCGAAACGGTATACGTTTTGGCCAATCGACATTCCGACCGATGACTACTTTTATTACCATGAAAATTCTGAAATTCCGATTATGAAAAATTCAAAATAATTCCGACTCAGCGGATTTTGAAAATTGGAATTCGGGCGTCGACCCCAATGAAAGCTTCCTTAACTCTGCTTAATCATTCCTTAACAGAAGTTTTCACCTGCGAGCAACTCAAAGCACAAGATAGAGTTCAGAAGTCCGGGACGTACATGCTTGGCCCATTCAACAGCCAATATGAGGTCCACTGTGACTTCTCTGAATCGGACGGTGAGATAAATGATATTTTAATTAGTCTTTTGAAAACGACTTCGATTGACGTTAGTCAAGTGCTTCCCAACCTGTCGAAATTTTCGATTAGATCGGCCAATAGAGGCATTATCATTACGTAACGTGAGGGTGTTTTCCTGTAGTAGGGGGCTGCTCGCGACTAGGGCTGGGCATTTTCCAATACCTTGTGATTTCAGAATCGAATCGAATAATTTTTTCGAATCGAATCTCGAATACTTTAAAATATATATTGTAAGCGACTTTATTATAGTAATTGGTCCTCTCAACAAAGGAATTACTGAAGACATAGAATAAATCACTCAGATAGATTACTGAGCGTTCACACAGAATAACAAACACGTTTTATCAATAATTCACTACAGAAAATAGTCATATGTTAGAATTTCGTTGAAAAAATATGCCTCCAATGAAAAACAAATTGGGGAATTCACGTCGACCATTAGCGGAAAGATAAAAACAAGATGGCGGCGATTCGAAATTTAGCTCTGAACCGATTCGAATAATTTACTATTTGATTCGATTCGAATATTCGATTCGAAATGCCCAGCCCTACAGTCGCGACCCGTGGTTTATGGACTTCTACCATCGGTGTATGGCTTTTATTAATCCTTGTTAATATAACTTCACTACCGTCATTACTTATGGATCTTGATCGGTAAGTATGTTGATAGGTATTTGTCTGTTTGTTTGTTTGTTCGTCTGTTAGATACACACGATATCTCACAAAAGCAAGATTGAATCTGCAAATTTTGCATGTGCATTTATCATAGCTCGGATCAGAACCCTATTGATTTTCGATGAATTATGTTGTATAATTAGCGAGTTATTATTTAATTAGTGACGGGACACACGGTGTCACTACGGAGTAAGAGCGCATGAATCGATCGATAGGTCTTCGGTCTCCGACCGATATTGTCGTTTCAACGTTTTATCACGTCACACTCACATTAAATTTCGTTTGGTTAGAATTGAATCACGGGATTTTGCTTCACTGTCACCGACACCGTGTTGTGATTGGAGTGGGTTGGGCCCTCAGTGTCAACAGGAATTTAGGTTTTAGTCCATTGCGATAAACTGTTGTACGCCGCTGATATCTATAGTTATAAGCATAGCCACGACAGAAATGCTAATAAATGACACGTGATCACATAACGCATTGTGGTATTAAAATATATACGTGAGATAATTCGCCATAGTATCCGACAGTTATTCTATTTTCGGCACTTCTATTTTGGTACTCCTGTAGTATGTGAATCAAGATGGCGGACACCGGACTTAGTATGTGTACCAGGTCAGGGTTAGGCTATAATTTCAGGTACAAATACTACAATGGTTAGTTGGCTAGACCCCGAACTTGTAATAGAACTAAAATGAAGAAAATTGGAACAAAATTATGGCGTAATCATAACCTGGTACACATACTACGTTCCGGTGTCCACCATCGTGGTTCACATACTTCTGGGTTGCCTCTATTTGAGGGACAGGCCCAAATAAGCCTAAATACCCAATTCATTCCCTTATTCTTATATGTATTTAATTACACTGGTGAATTTACAGTGTTCAGTTATAGTTTTTGAAATCAAAATGTAAAATATTATCACAAAATATTTACAGCGATTACAGCAATCCGACACGATTCTATGGACGAGGTGCTGATGCCAGAATGCGAAGCCAAAGGTTGTTACTCCAAGGTTCCCCACTATACAATGAGTTTGGATAACATAATCAAAATCATTGACAACTCGAGGGAATGCAGACAATTTATTAAGGTAGCTATCAATTGGGGTTGAGCGATACTAAAGACATTTCTTGGGTTAATCTCCTCGTCATTCTGTGGATTGATAAAAAATGCAAATGTCTAAATTTTACTACTTGTTCATACTACGTATTCTGAAGAAATGAACTCTCTATGATGAGTTTCTGAAAAGCAAATCAAAAAGTGTATACTTACTTTTAAGACACCCTTTATGCCCTTGGCGCCATATATTTGATCATTACATGTTTATTTTGAACAGGCCAGATGTGAAGGTATGCTGTTGTTCCGAACTGATCCTTTCGCCTGGTGGGTTTCACGGAACGGAGAGAAAATGTTGTATTGGGGTGGAGCGACCTCGAGAAGCAACTACTACTGCGCCTGTGGAGAAACAGGTAACGTACATTCATCAGAGACTCAGTTTGTTTCTAGTACTCAAGAGCACAACCCGAACAAATATATTTTTTTTTTGTCGAGGACGATTTTTTTGGCGCTCTTCAAGTAGATTGAGGCAGTAGATTGACTTGGCTAACACAGACAGTCCCCGAACCCGTAATAGGACTAAAATCAAGAAAATCGCAATAAAATTATGGCTTCACCCTAACTTGGTACACATACTTCGGGAGTACCTTTTTTGTTTTGTTTAAAGACGTAATACGACGCTCGCCCGTACTTTTTACTCCGAACAAGACTAGATAAAGGAAGCCTCTGATATCTGAAGAATTTTGTGTTTCTGTCGAAAATATCGACTTCTGTTATCACTATTGCACCAAATTCCCACTCTGACTCCGGGAAATTTCAAAATATGACTCCGACTACTATGACATAGATAGCCTGACACTTGGATTTATTTATTTTCAAGGTACATGTGCTGATAAGTCCTTCAAATGCAATTGTGATAAGAACGACGCCGTTTTAAGAACAGATGAAGGGTTTTTAACCGACAAGACCAAACTACCCGTCAAAGAACTCAGATTTGGCGACATGGGAGCCGAAACCGAAACTGGATGGCACACACTGGGCCAGTTGGAATGCATGGGTTGAAACTTGACGTCAAAACAAAAACTACTGATGTGCCCTTTCCACCGCGCTTATTCACGTTTTCGCTATGAAAAGGCTTTGTACAAACAGCCACCGATATATCTAACAATATGTAAGAAGATGTTGTTTTTGTAAGAACCTAATTTTTCCGGTTCGGCTTTGCCTAATCAATTTAAAAAGCTGTTAATACATTTTCACTCTCATTTTTCTTCAAGTGACCCGATATTTAACCCCCAAATTATGGTGTTTTATTCTATTCCGTGGAAACACTTTGATCTGACTTATGGAACACTTTTATCCGACATGTAGAAACGGTTTTATACGGTGAATGGGAATACTTTTATATGTCATATGGGAACACTTTTATATGTCATATGGGAACACTTTTATATGACATATGGTAACACTTTTATTTCCCATTCGTGTTCATATTATCAAACATTGCTTTTAATTATCTACCCTGCTTTGTAATTTTTGTGGATTGCTAGGATTGTGAAATCGGGGACACATTTTACGAATTTTCTGAAATCGTTGTGGCTGGAGTTTGAAAATTTTGCTTCTGAACAGGGATATCGTTTGTTGAAGGCCATTGGCGTCAATGCAGCCGTATTATTTTTGAATTATTTGGATTCCAAATATGCATTTTCTAAGAGCCATTATCGAAGTATTAAGATGTTCTACAAAAAAAAATATGAAGTTTTATAAGCATTCGTAACGCCTAGTGAAAAAAGCTTGCTTGCCATACTTGCTCGTTTTGTAGCGCGGGCCCATATTTTTTTTACCAAAATCACTAACCGGGCCCATATTCAAGCACGGGCACTTATTATTTTCAAATTAAAATTATACACAAAAATTACGGTATCTTTGAAGACAAATATTTGACGACAATAATCCCTTTTCCATGTCAATTTATTCACGTCTCAAGAGTAATTCCCTCATATTACCCGTAGTTTATATTATTAACAAGAAACAACAAATCAAAATTTTTATTTATTCAGCAAGTGTACCGTTATTTTCTTCATCAAAGCTATCATCCTCATCAACACCAAGCCCGTTTTCTGCTGTAGCCTCAACGTGAGTGTTATCTGCCAGCGCTTGTGACAAAAGCGCTTCTTATTTCCTATTGCTCTACCAATGAAAAATCAGCTTTTACATCGGGTGGGTATTCAAGCACTGGCCCTTATTTATTTTTTATGTTCTGTTCACACGGGCGGCTATCCAAACGGGCCCTCAATCAAGATCGGATGGTAAAACGAGCATATACGGTACTCTGACGTTTTTGCGGTGACATTTTTGTGGGAGTTTTTGAGCTCTAAGTTTTTAAATTTTCTTTGATTCCACAGCCCTAGGCTATTTCCTACAGTTTTCTGTTTTTACTCCGTTTCTATTCAATCTCTCACCAATTGTCCCATTATTGATTCAAAAATAAAATTCAAAAATGTCGCGATGTTTCTAATAAAATTGTGATTAATGTACAGAATAACACGTTCATTCTCTTTGATTCGGGAGATATAGTTGTTTATAGAATAGTCGGAGGATTGAAATTAGAAATTGTTCCATAAATTATTTCAACACATACGAAAACAATCTAAAACTACAAATATTCAACGATCGCCAACAGAATGACTAGAGGGGAATTTGGGATTTGCTAGTGGGGAACATACAGTACGTTTACTTGCAAAAAATTATAGTTTACGTGGAAATGAATTGGCTTGTCAGGCGTGAGCAGTAACTGATGCAACACGACGATTCGCTTTAAAGCTTTTAGACTTCGTACAGTTTTACACAAATCATTTCCAAGTTTGTAAAACAAACAGAAGCATAGATCTGACTCCAAATCATGAGTTTCAATTAAAATATTATTTCATCTCACGTGATGACATGACGTAATAAACTTGCGCCACCATGTGACAGATATTGATTTGATAGTAGTTGACAGAAAGTTAGAAATTCGGGCTGAGCACCAGCAAACTGGGCTATCTCTGTTGTGTGTCCAAGTTTACGAACAAGCTATAATTTTAATATTTTTACCGCGAGGGGAAAAGATGAAAAGCCAGTTATATTTGACTCAAAGTTAGCCATTAAGCTCCGGTACCTTCAGATTATTGGGCGTTGAGTACCGGTACTTGTTTGCTCTCCTAATTCTGTGATTTCATAACCAGTTTTTATTTATTTTTATCAATTCAGTCTCCGACCGATATTCTCGTTTTAATATTATGCTGATTATGGAGTCGAAATAAACTTATACCTGTACGGTACCATTAACGTTCCCGATAGACATCTGTCAGTCAGTCGGCAGCACAGCTCACATTTTCTGTTGTTTTGATAGCCTAGCTGGTTTTGTCTTCGATTCTTATTGATGCTCACATAATTTTGTGACGACAATTTTACTAGCATGATAATGCAGATTGCTGTATTGTACTTCCAGCACTCTGCACTGATACACAAAATATTTTTCTGATGAACTTTAATTACGGGCTCCACGGACTTTTAAGAACGTACGTTGAGGGATATTGATAAGATGGTTTGGGTTATGATTTTTATTTATTTTATGAAATCTTGAGATTTTCTGAAAAACAATACTGGTAACTTTATAATAGTCTATGAAAAAATAATATGTGGATGAATGCCCTTTGAATGTATTGATATCTTATTGTTTTAATACAACTATCAAGGTGGATGCAAAAAAATAACTCGAACGATCTTATGATCAGAAATGTTCGTGGGACGAAAAGTTTGTATACTCTCTCTCCCCTTCTCTGACTATGATTTCTTTATATCCTGAATTTAAAACAAAGAGTTAATTTCTAATCCATATGATTTTTTAGAATTTGTAAACCAATCTATAAACAGGTCTATAGTATTTTGAAAACATTGCAAAACAGAGGTAAAGTAGCAGATATTGTTATCACCAAGCACGGATTCCCGAATAAATCAGCAAACGGGACCTACAGACTCTACTAGTCAATGCTAGTGGTAAGTATTGTATAATTGTGATATGTATAGATAAGGCAATTATGGATGTTGGAGACGGGATGCATGCACATTACTGTGCTGGCCTGTATCACAGATGTGTGGACCTGTTTTGACAAAAACAAGTAGCTGAATATATATGGTACTGCCAGTTGGACTAGTGGGTGGGTGAAGTAACGGGAGTGAAAGAAGATGTACAATAATGTTTGTACGAAGGAGAGAAACAACATACATAGTCATAAACAACATTACACAAAATACCCTGGATATGTGCATAATTATCTTAAAAATTGAAAATTATATTTTTTGTGAACGACCAACATGATTTTACTGTCAGGAATTGAGCTATATTAGTCAGACTTTCCAAAACAAATGCAATTCGTCTACATTGCTTGTGCTCCTATAGTTGAAGAAATGTTTGTATAATGGTAGAGCATGGTTCCAAGAATGTTCCCGATATTTAGACATATAAAACAAACCAGACACTCTCATAGGTTTTGTATTTTTCCTTATTATTGATGTGTTTAAACATTGAGTTCGTCTTCTTATTAATGGTTCAGCAAAACACCTTGTACAACTTCCAAATTCACATAATTTGAATATAAGAAGTTTTAATAAAATAATTGATTTAAAAAAGTGACATTTTCAAGAAATTAATAATAACCAAAATTCAGAAAGGTTGTCGAAATTTTAAATTTGGTTTAAAACATCCTAAGTGATTCAAGAGTCTTGCTGCACATGAACACAAATATATTTCTGTAACGTTTCGTCTTATCAAAGTCAGACCTTTTCAGACATACATAGTTCAACATAGAAGAAGTATAAGTACCGATAGTTAGTCTCGCAGGAACCACCAAATCATTAGCACAAAGGTTTGAAACATGAGGCATAAAAAGTACAACATAACCCTGAAACAGAATATCTATCAGTGTCTCGAATTTGGCTTTGATTAATAAGCTCGTGGGCATTGAGATACCTGTGATACATAAATATATACATAAGTAAAATTTTACTAACTTTGTTTTTTTAGAATTAATCGACAAAATGTCATACGGACGGGGCGATTTGACACCGGGTGGAGGAGGTTCCTATGGAAACAGTGGCGACCAATACTCGAGTTCGTATCAGAATGAGGGACGCTCATCACAAGCTGACTACACCAGGCTGACACAACTAATCAGTTCAAACATACAAAAGGTTCAGCAGAATGGTGAGGGCTTTTGCTACTTCAGATATTGGAAAGATTGCCAAACTCACAACTATTTACTTTTTCTGATACTAATTTCGACGCATTTAAATAAATTTAACTTTATTATTTTACCATAAATACCACAAGAAAAAAGTTTGCAGTATGAGGATTAAGAAAACATAGCTTATTTCAGTGCGCATTAGTGATCATATCAATGCTGCCTTGGCCAATTGTTCCCAAGCTTTCCAATCTCACAAGTCACAACTATTCACTTGCTGTAACACGTATCAGAACACATTTGGTAAAATTTTCTTTGTTTATTTATCGCACATTGAATTACGGCAAACAAAATTTGTGAGAAATTTATGTATTGGAATAAGGATAATATGTGAGTAGGCTATATCATATTCGCACACAATTTAAATGATTAGAAATCTCTTTTAATTAGTTTTTCGTTTTTGCCTAATGGTTATTTTACCATGCACGATGTTGAAAAAGCAGATTCTCCAATTAGTTGGTCCGACTAGTTACGCTTCACTGCCTTCGTGTGCTAGGTATTCTGACTAGCTAGGCTTCATTTATACCTGTAGCCAGAATAGTGCTGCAGTGACCATTGCCTTCATTCCATCCTTTGTTCAGTTCAAGACATTCTGAATTGCTGTTTCTTGATTCCATGTGCTAGGTACTCTGACCGGTAATGCTTCATTGATATATTTGCTCAGAATTATGCTGCAGTAGTCCCACCCAATAACATTCATTTTATTTACTGTTTAGTTCAAGACAAATTGACTCGCTGTGCTACCGATTTCGAGTAGTTTTGCTTCATTGATTTTTGTAGCTATAATTGTGCTGCAGTAGACCCTATCCATTATTAACATTAATCTCATCCTTTATTTAGTTGAAGTCATTTATAGACTCGCTGTGCTAGGTATTCCGACTAGTTTAGCTTCATTGATTTTTGTGGCCAGAATTGTGCTGCAGTGGACCATTAACATTTTTTTCATCCTCTATTTAGTTCAAGACATCAGGAGAATGGTCGAACAACTCGGATCATCGAGCGATACTTCGGAACTTCGAGATCGATTGTGAGTCTCATGTAATTTACTTTCTGTTTGTATAAGAATGTTCTACTGATATGTGATATGATTTCGTTCGTATTCTTTCATACATGAGGCTCTCATCCTGAACAAGTCGCCACTGATATGCACGGATCTCAATTTAAATCAATCATGACATGTGTCTGCCGTCATGTAACAAAAAATGTGTATTTTGCTAAAAACTCTTGAATGCTATGGTAAAATTTTTACCCATCTGTGAATCTGATTACTTTTTTTCGAAGAATCCAATTCTGATGTTTTTAGATATCGCTTCCACTTAGTTTATTGTGCAGCGCCGATATGGAGGCCCAGACTGTCTCGTAAAATAAGAGTTATCACTTATTGATGTATTTTAGCTCAAATGATCTTATGGCCAGAAATGTTCGTGGGACGAAAAGTCTGTATACTCTCCCTCTCTCTACTAAAATTTGTTTTGTATGCTTTTATATGGAAAATATCAGACTATGATTTCTTCATACTATGAATTCAAAATAAAACTGACACTGCCGCCACTGATATGTACGAAGCTCTGATCCAGCATTGCCTGCCCAATTATCACACCCTGAGTGACGTGACAGGCATTGGATTTGCAACCTGCGATGTCATCATAGTTATGTTACACTTTTACCACCAGCCTAGGAGTTTCTCCAACTAGGGGTTGCATGCAAAGGCCTTCACTACAAACCTTTCACCATGGTTACATTAATTTAACATGAATGGAGTGTGATTTATCTGATTCGTTGAATGTAATGAATGCAATATGAGTGAGCGGGCCAAATCCGACTCCTGACTGAAACCAAATTTTGATGTTTCAGCAGAAAAATTGCTCAAGGGGTTTGTTGAGATAGCGAATGAAACTAGTTTTGGCTTTGGCTTATTGTTTTTCGTCTTTCGCACTTACATGGCCCGCCAGTCCAGGTGGCAAAATTTTTTGCCTCTGGTGCAAAAACCCACCTCTGTGTTGAAAGCAAAACTAGGCATTTTATAGAAAAGAGAGTCTCTGGCAAAAGATTACAGATTTTACAGATATATCATTTCTTGAAATTTAAATTTTTAGGCATCAACGGCAACATTACACGAACCAGTTGTCAAAAGACACAGCAAAATATATAAAAGATGTCAAAGCCCTAGCTCCAGCCTATCCAGCTTCTGAACAGGTTTGTTATATATACATGTATCAAAACTATAAATTTATATGTTCATGTTGATAGTGTTATGTATGTTGATAGGTATTTGTCTGTTTGTCTGTCTGTTAGACGCGATATCTTACGAAAGCGGGGTTGAATCTGCTCCAAATTTTGCATGTGCATTCATCATATCTCGGACCAGAAGCCTATTGATTTGTGTTGAATTGAATGAATTGTGTTGTATAATTAGCGAGTTATTAATTAATTAGTGATGGGACACGCGGTGTCACTATAGAGTCATGAATCGAAACCGCAGTTTAGATCGATAAGTCTTAGGTCTCCGACCGATATTCTCGTATGTTTTGTCAAGTTATGTCAACTGCACATGTTAGCTGCTTCATTTTTCTCTCCATTGATTTTGTATCTGACCCATCTTTACTTCTAAGGATTGGTTGTTGCATAAGATAATGCATGATATAATTGCGTGATAATTACGTGGCACTGAATGGTTATAGATTCATTTATTGCAGCAGACATTCCTGCATTTTATAGATACGAAACATTGCCATGTTTCAATAATTGATGATTTCTATACTGAATATTTTGATCAACAGTTGTTAGCTAGCTTTCTACTCATTGACTTCTCTAGCATTACCCAGTTGTTGAAATAGAACTTACTAATGACACAGAAAAATGTTTTTTCATGTTATTAACAAGGCCCACAGATATCTATCGATAATTTTGAAAGGACCAGTATTTAGTAACTTGATTATAAATAAAGCACTAAAATTGAACATGTTTCACAAGTTAGTTGTTTACACACATTATTGATCACCCAGATCAATGAATTGATTTTGTTATTCTCCCACAGCAAATTCGGTGAATCCATTTTTTTTTACATGTTGTGTGGTATTTTACTTTTGTTTATGGACTATATGGGTCGGTGGTTCACAACCTTTCCACCCAAGAGGGCCGGTAACATTGAATGAAATGGGCAACATGATGGTTTATTGCAGTGGTTCCCAAACATGGGTTAAATACCCCCAGATGTGTAATTTGGTGATTCTGGGGGATGTTTACTGTTTTAATAATTTCTTCTGTAATTCCCATACTTTTGATTAGTTTGCGTGAAAGCTGGACATACAATGCTGGCATCTAGTCAGTAGTCATCTAGAAAAATTTTTTATCGAAATAACAAGTCCAGCACAATTCAGAGGAAATATGAAATCAGTTTACCCAGTTGTTGCTGGAAAAACGATTATTTTACAATAACAACAACAATAATTTAGCAAAATGATGGGCGCAATAACAACTTTGTATTTTATGCAGAGGCATCGTAGAACGCAAACAGACCGATTGATGAGCGAATTCAGTGACGTATTGAACCGATTTCAAGCAGTCCAACGAGATGCGGCATCCAAAGAAAAAGAATCTATCGCCCGTGCAAGAGCTGCATCAGCCAGTCAAGACCATTCTGGAGATGTCCTTGTCAGTATTCAAGGGTAAGTGCTTGATGTTGAGGCGTTGTTGCTTACATTTAATTTTCATATACTCAAAATAAGATATTTCATTTTGAACTCCGCCAATGTGAAAAAAAAGGACAAGACAAGACAAACACAACAATAACCATAAATGTGGACACAAACAGTTATCATAAATCATCGCGTATCAGCCGAGCTTGAAACTAAAAAAGGAAGTTACTAAACTTGATAAGGGGTCAGCTTATACTCTCATATCTCTGATCGCACTAATAATTTGGTTTATACACGCACAACTCAAACGAAATGACATTATGCTAACTTAATTCCAACAGCTACAACTCGAACCTTGCTAAGTTCTCACGATAAGAGCGTACGTACGGTTTGTAGGGTCGACTTATATACGTAATTTTTATAAATTTACCGTTCTAAGACCGTTTTTAGGAAGGGGATCGGCTTATTAGCAAAGATATACGGTAAGTCAATGCGATCAGGAAAATGATTATTCACTCATGACAATCACTCATCGTAAAATAATTTTCGATTACGGAAATAGTCAAAGCAGGCTTATTTAAAGCATAGTCTTATTTTCAGTGAATAATCATCAAACAATTTCTCTATTCCAGGGAGCAGCTACAGGAACAAGCACAGATATCTCAGGAAGAAATAAAGGAGATTGAAGAACGACAGGCTGCCATCCAGCAGTTGGAGGTAGAGGGTCATTTTTCAATATATTTCTTTAGCAATAGATGGTGGTCATTCTCTATTCTATTGTTTACTCTTGTTGTTTACTCGTGACCTCCTTCCTGAGGCTTTCAGAAATCATGGCCCCCCTGTTTATCATTCCTATTGTGCTATTTTGATTGCCTGATTGTCAAAATCTCATTATGTTCAAACAATTCATGCCTAACAAAATGAAAACACCCTGTAAAATAACCTTATCAAACAATAAAACTAGGAAGAATGGGGAGTTTTCTTGCGAAGGAAAAATTGAAATCAGTTTTTGCTCAGCATTTTGGCTCCCTCCAACTGCTCTGTGGCCCCCTTGGTGGGCGATAGGCACTCGGTTGGGAGCCACTGGTATATAGGATTACGATGGTATATTATGCACTCACTGAAGTAAATGAGACTCGAATTATGCCGATGCATCACACGCACTATATCAAAACTAAAGGTGACTCATCTCAGGGAACTGATTTGCCAAAAGCTACTGAAACTGTACTGAATTATGGTGACGTTCTCACTTAGAAGTAAACAAGACAGTCACTGACAAACACAGAAGTCACAGGCAGTCACTGACGTGCCAAGTAGGGATGCGACAAGATTCGGACTCGTGCTCGGATTCGTGGCCGAATCTCTGGTAATTTGATACTCGGATTCGGCCCGAGTCTTTGATGATTTTACCCGAGTCCGGGATATCATACGTCACGCGATAGTCAAGCGCAGACTGGTGGCGGATTAACTTTTTCGTTCTGTTTTGCCACGAGACTGTCCAGTGTCCAGCCTATTCTCTCTATGGTGAAATTAAAACTAGGCGCCAAAACTATAAAATTCACGACGCCGTAAGAACAAAAAAATGTCAGCGAGAGTCAGCTTAATAAATTCCAGTGTTGCGTGTAGCTTGCCTTCCATTGCCAGACGTCGTTTAGTAAATGCTTACCACGTCCTATTTCAAGCATATACTTGATAATCCTCGAACAGTGATTAATCCGTAATCAGCGGTAACCATGTCGCACTGTTCGCCTTTTATCGTTCCACAAATGATCTTGCCATTTCCGGAGAGAAACAAATGTGAGAAATGTTAGAAATAAAACGATAAAATAGTGAAAATTACGGAACTTTTGAGAGAAAAGTACAACTCGCAGATGTCAGTGGCGTTACAATCGTATATATGTACAAAAACAATCTCGCAAGTCGCATCGATTAAATGTGCATAAATTTGGAAACTATTACTCGTGGTAATTGAATGTTAATCGGGCCGACTTTTTATTTTTATTCAATATGTATTTAAATACACCGCAATTAGTGACGGGCAAAATCGAATTTTTCCTGATCGAATAATTCGACTATTTCTTTTTATTTACCGATAGTAGAAAATTACTAGAAGACTGGAGACTGGATAAAAAAAGCGGCGCCTTTACTTCTTATCCGTAATTTTATCACAATCGCGAATTGTTTTTTTTGTCACCGCGATTGTTTCGGCGACCGACATCCTGATTATTGTTAGTAAACTATATTTTTAAAGCACCTTTTTTCACTATCAGCTCTCACGCAACGCCGGACATCGAAGTTTCGTTTTTATATTTCAGGCAGAGTTGTGAGTACAAATCGGCAAAGATATTAAAGACAGCTATTAATTAGTGACTTCATAAACATATTAATTTTATTCTGGTCTCATCTTCTGGACTTGATCTTCCATATCACAGTTTGTAAATTACGGTCCCTATTTTAAGCGAACAATACCTATCGTGGCTTAAATCTTAGTCGTAACTCTCACTTCTGCATTAATGTTAATAAATTCGGTTTTGCTTTTCGAAGCGCCGTTATTTGTATTAATGAAAATGATTGCGTCATGAGTATGACCATGAGTTTGAACAGACAGCCGTAACTTAGCATATAACACATTTCGCCTTTTGCGTCTCTCTTATTGAATTATAATCAACAATTACACATTCCTAAATTCCGCGGATTCGACAATCGCTATTGATGGTTTTCAAACGAAGAATAGCTAGCTATTTTGTTACGATATATTTATAAGATACATTTATTCGATGCTTGGCAATTCTTTATTATTATCTCAATTGTCACGGAGATGGGCGTCTGTATCAGCGCCGACTGAAAAAGATAACATATAAGTAAAAATTTCCCATAAAAAATTTGTTCCAAACATGTGGGTTATGGCCCATATTTATCGTGACAGGACACGAGCGCGGCGTCGTCAGCAGTCGACGCGGCGGTAGATCAGAGTAACGTAACAAAGTATTTATTCCTTCAACGGGGAATAGGACCTATTTATTCTAATTTAAACTTGCCGCTCAGCGAATGATCGTCTCGAAAGCAATAGTGTTTATGTGCAACGTTTTTAATTACATAGTCTTATCATACAGAATGAATATACGCGAACAACAGCATCACTTTATGTATTTATTTCGGAGCTATGTAAAAGTACTGGACTCGGGACTCGGACACGAGTCCAGCGCAAATACTCGGGATTCGGCCGAGCCGAACCTTTTTGGATTCGTCGCATCCCTAGTGCCAAGCGCTACTGAAACGTGGTTAATGTGTTGATTCCGGGTTATTTAAAATTTGTTGTTATTCATAAAGATTCTAAAAGATATTCAGTGCTGTATTTTCATTACATTTGCTATTTATCAGTGAATTAATAATTTAAACCAATTTGGCGAAATAAAATTTGAAATGTGCTTTTCAGAATATCCGAAGTTCATGTAGATCGCAAAGCGAGACTCTAAATTGCCAAAGTAATCAGATTAGACCTGAGTGGAATAAGACAATTCCGTTTTTAAGTACACTGCCCGTACAAACATTGCTGCTGTTTTTTAACGACTGTAATCTCTTCGGTTTCATATCTCATTCGACTTGTTACGCCATGGGTGTGCATGATATTCCAATTAATCCCAGATTTTCAACATAAGCAGCTCATATGCATAGATCGATAGATCAGGGGTAGGCAAGGGCCAAAAATTGTGCCCACCTAGACTGGCGGGCCATGTAAGTGTGACGTAAAAGGTTACATTTTTGGGACAATATTTACAGTGTTACAAAAGCAAAAGTGGAAAACAATAAGCCTTGTGTCATAACTAAAATTTAATCGCAATCTCAACAAATTCCTTGAGTTATTTTTAACTAAAACATCAAAAAGGTTTTAGTTTTGTTGTGACAGCATCAGGCGTGCCAGATTGAATTACCCAACGGGCCGGATTTGGCCTGTGGGTTGTAGTTTGCCCATGTCAGCGATAGATAGATGAGTACTCCTGAAGTATGCACACCAAGATGTCACACAAACTGAACTCTAACCTGGTATACTACCCGTACCCGAGTTCAGGTTGTGCGCCATCTTGGTGCGCATACTTCAGGAGGTCCGATAGATGGATCCAATATTCAATCCACTGTTACATCGCAGCCATCAACATTCATCTTCCCCAGAGATGAGCTCAAAGATATCTTGTTATCTTTTTGCACTTTTCGGGCTCTCAAACCGAATTATGCTATTTTTTCTGTATTTCGTCCTATTGGCCAGGTGGCCTACTAACAGTTCAAGCTTTAGACTTGACAATAGCTGCATCTTTGGTTCAAATCCAATGCTCGCCACCTTCAATGCCGATTTCATGGTACTCCCGTAGTATGTGTACCAGGTACCCCCTGCCCATAGGTTTCAGTCTCTTTACACAACTTGATGTAAAATAGGCGAACAAAATTAGTTACCTCCATATTGGTACACACACTTCTGGAGCGCCGATTTCATTTCAAACATGGTAGCTATTTACATATTATTAGATATCAGTAGCTGCTTGCACAGGGCCTTGTTCAGATCAAAATTCATGAATAAATGTGTTTTCTTCCTCCAGAGAGATATTATCGATGTTAATGATATTTTCAAAGAACTTGGGAACCAAATCGAGTCTCAGGGATTGATAATTGGTAAGACTTCGTCACGGTTCATTGGATGTCATGCATGACTGATTGTGGTTGAATAAATTTGCGAAATGCCATATTCTTGGCTTTCAACCCAAGATGAATTTCGAACTATGTCTCTAAAAAAAAAATTATTTTACTGCACATTCATTGAATGTCACACACCAGTGAACAATGAGTCATGCATGACTGACTACGGCCATAAAACCAGCAGATGTCACTTCTGGATCAAAATTACGTCCAATAATCTCCTGAATTGGTTTTTCAACCCAAAAATTTGACTAAAAACTAACATTTTTACAGGCTGACATAGTCGATGTTAACATGATATTTAAAGATCTCGGAGCAATGGTTCATGAGCAGGGTGACATGATAGGTGAGTATAGAATAGCACAGTGTTGTGTCACAATGCATGTTATTTGTTATCAATGATGATGTCATATTGATTTTAGTTATGTCATAGAGCATAGATTTGTAGCATCATATATAGATAGTCAAACACATTAGATTTTTCTCAGAGCCGCGAGTTGGAATGAAAATTACAGAAAGCGGTTCAATTTTTTTCAATTCCAAGTTAACAAATCAGTACTTAAGCAACTAGCTGAAGTATATTAGGTTTGATAATAAGTTGTGAGTTAGTATAGGTAAAAGACTGTATGAAAAGTGCAAAAATAGCTATGCTGGCCTAATTAGTGATAGTTGGAATTTTATAAAGACTATGAGATAGCTTGAGCTGTCACCAGAAGTCACATTGCTGCATTAGAAAAGCCTCTTTCTTAGACTGCCTCAAGTCTCATCCCAACCTGTATTTGGGATGTTCATCTAACACACAATTTAACACCATAATTGTTTAAAGTTTCATTAGCTCTTCTTGTAACTTTGTGCTCGGACATGAATCTCATTTCTTTCTGCGTGAGTGCATTTGACTCGCTCCTAGCTTATTCTTTTAAATTTACTCTATGAGAATAAAGCAAGGTTATGTACGCTCTCTCATAAGTATCTGCGACTCATGTCTGAGGAAGTTATGACGACTACTGAAGTTCCAATAGCAGCAGACACCTAAAATTATAGCGAGAAGTTATGCTTTAGCAAATGCTGATCGACTTAATCGAATATCATTTATAGCTTACTTAGATGGTAGATGTATGTAACAGTGTGTTTGGGGCCTTTGGCACCTGCTGTTCACACATTTGTCATATACTGGAATAGTCTCAGACATTTCTAGACTTGTATTTTAGTTTGGTATCAGAGAATTCAGAACTTACAGCTTGGATGGTTATTAAAGCAGTCAAAGAATCAATGGAGGGTGACCTGACAGTATTAACATGCAATAATTACAATAGGATTATTTCGACCAGTTTTGGTTAGTTGCTTCCGGAAAGTTGTAGACTTTTTATGTAAAACAGCCAATTTTTGTTTCATCTTGAATGCGAATCTGACAACCGAGTTGATGGAATTTGACTAGACCAGAAAAATATTATCCGAGCAGAAAATGATAGAAATACAGGTTTTTTTCTAAATTAATCACAGCTTATGTTGGTGGCTTGCTTTCAGTTGGATCTGGTATGAGAGATTCCAGAGCGCACGGCAGGTTTTTTAAATTAACGCAGCCTATCATGGTATGGTGGCTTTTAGTTAGATTTGCCTAATTTAGTATGCAGCTCAGCAGTATTTATATCCGAGTAAACAATGAGGATCATGAAGCGTACCACACTAAGCATGAGAAATTGAAGAGTTTAATCTGAGGACTAATCACATCTTTTGTTGGTGGCTTGCTTTTAATTAGACCGGGTGTCAGCTTTAGCAAAGGTCTCTTAGCAGTTGTGTTAATGTGATAGGGAAGTCAATGGAGGGTGACCTGGCAGTATTTTCATACACTAATTAGCATAAGATTATTCTGAAATTGGTTAGAAATTTGCAGAAAAGGCCTATGATGTCAGAAGATTTTCGACTCCCTACATCGCAGTGCTGTCCATGCAGAAATAAACAGGCTTTTTTCATTTTTAACTAATTGCAGCTTATTATGGTGGCTTTTAGTTAGAACTGCCTTGGTGATCCAGCCAGCGTTGCTCATATAGAATAGCTTGGTGCTTTTAGGAGAATTATTTATTCAATTTCATATCAAACAACAATTTTGGTCAAATTTTTACACAATTTGTTTTTTTATGGTCCAATGATAATTTCGATCATATTTATTCTGCATTAATTTTTTTCAAAATTTTATTCACCGATTTTGTTTATTTCTCAAGCAATTAAATTGTAATTTGTTTCAATACGAATTAATCATAGATTTTGAAACATAATTTTGATCCAGAACGATATTATTTCATTGATATACATTTAATTTTTGCATGTTTAGAGCGTTTTAAAAAAATTTAAAATGTCATTCGAGGAAATAAAGAAAAGATTGCTGATACGAGGATGACCAAAATTGCAACCTTTTGATACAATAAATTTGGATTTTTATGAGAGCTGTTTTGCTCCTTTTTCTTCACTCCTAAAACAGGCTTGCTGGACTCCTTGTCACCGTAGGAGATACCACCAAGTCCATGCTTCTAAACTGAGTTTAAAGTCTTTCTGCCATGGTTGTTCATGTAACTCAGTGGTTCTTAACATGTAGGGGAATTTCAGGTGGTACGCGGGCGGATTTGAATTATTGCAGCAATTAACCTTTCGATTGGCTAAAATATGCCGGCAACGCTCTATCTTCCTTACTGTATGTATTCGCTGAACAGCGTTTATGGATGTTTCCCCAAGCATCAGTTTCCTTGTTTATTTCCGTAACTATAACCAATCAGCAATAAGTCAATAATGACGCAACACGTAACAATTACAATTCCTGCACTCAGCCGCTCAGACACTTCTGTCGCTCAAACAGATATTCAAGCATGGTTGCGAACATTGCCTCGTTTTTGTAGTTTTGAGTGATATTTGTCAGTTTTCAGTCGTTTCAAGAAAATAATAGTGAATTAGTTAACTTAATTGTCATTATGTCCTCCGCGGAGCTTTACTTTAGTTGCAGTAATCAAAATTGAATCTCGCAAATGCTGCGATGGACAAGGCTAAACTTAGCTATATCAGTACCTGCAAACGGCACATGGTTGAATAATTTTGATGAAAATTATGGTTTCAAACACGTAAACGAGTTAATATGCGCCAACATACCAAAACACTCTCAGAATGAGCATGTAGTTTGCAATAGTAAAGTATAAGAGTAATTTTTTCGGGGTCAATGGTCGGGGAAACGTCCATAGCACTGGTGCGCACCGGTCCTTGTCTTAAGAGATCGCCCTCGCCCGCTATTGCCATCTTAAATAAAGCGATATGCGACTGTTTTTGTTCGTTTTGCGTGTTACGCCACAAAGGATGTAGTGTGACATTATAAACTACACACATAGCATGTTTTTTGTGTCTTTTTCTTCACGCCAAAAAAGGAGATTTGTCGGTGGTACGCGGCCATAGTAAGAAACAGTAAAGTGGTACGCGGTCAGTAAAAGGTTGAGAACCACTGATGTAACTGGTCATTTACGGCTTCCTCCACCACCATGTTCATGCTTCCAAAAACAAATACCTGGCTAACTAATCCTGTATCCACATGGACTGGTAATCGAACTAGAGGCCGTGGTTTGCCATATAATTAAACCCTATTATTGGCCTTCCCCCCTTCCCCCTGGGATAAATGTGTGAATCCTATTTTAACAGCTGCACAAGCAGCTACAAATATGACTCTGCGATTCCATTCAAACATGAGTCTGAGTCAAATGTTTTGTTAAAATTGCATCGCTACAAGTGTAAACTCTCCAACCCTACAGCACGAGTGGTAACTTTCCTAAATTTATCAGATTCCGCATTCTATCTCTTCCAACGTTATTAGTGTCTCGTAGCTTTGTTTCTGCTATTCCATGTTTCAAACATTCTTCATTTATCATCACAGACAGCATAGAAGCGAACGTAGAATCAGCGGCTGACAATGTCCAAGCTGGGAACAAACAACTAGTCCAAGCCAGAAGCTCTGCTGTAAGTATTGCCTAGTTTAACATTCTATATAGTCAAGATTAATCGTATCTTATCAATACGCTGGCCCCCTGTTTTTCATTTCAGTGTTATTCATAGAGTTATTTTGATTGGTAGATTCAAAATATGTTCGAACAATACACAAAAAAGTGAATACACCCTTTGAAATAACCTTATCAAGCACTGACGTTGAATAGAACGTAAAGGTTTCTTGTCGAGGGAAAAGTAAAATCAGTTATGCACCTGGTAATTGTGGCACCTTTTTAACAGCTCCCCTTCGAGGGGATACATGCCTTAGGTTGGGAACCGCTGTTTCAATATATTTTTATGTATGTGCTCCTTTTGCTTTGGTACATACAAGGTTTTGTAAAAGTAGCCATTCACTGTATTTTGGAAGGCTGGAGTCTTTCTGGTTCAACAAAGCCTTCGTAATTTATTCTACCCTGGGTGAGATTATGAGATTTGTAACAGCTGCTCAGTTAGGTTCTACGATTAAACCAAATATTCATCAACTTCCACAAATAGTTGAGCATATTCTAAAATCCATCTTGATAGCTTAGTAAAGATGGATAATTGTTGAATACCAATAACTTAGATTGCCCCCGATAACCCACCAACAGAACTGAACACTAAGGACAAAGTAGACTTGGAAGGCATACTAAATTTTCTGAGCGCTTTTAAACGATTATCTGTATCTCCTGAATAAGGTGACCAAAGACAAACTGGAGCCTGATTTGCGTTTCCAAATCCCGAACTTATAATTAATTCAAATATAGTATTGCCAAATATAAAATATCGGATATTTCCTATATTGTGTTGTGTTTAGGATATAATTTCATTCATCTTGATTTATGGGATCTCCCGATGGGTGCAGACCCTGACCCACATCAACTTTGGGCTTCATTTCATTTGCTCATACAGTGTCTTTGTTAAAGTTGAAAGGACATAAAACGTGCGGTGGAGATACACAAACAATTTTTATAAGCCACATTTGTTTGCTTTTTTTGAACTTTTATTCCTCATTCTCAGGCGAGTGCTCGAAAGAAGAAAATTATTTGCGGGATAATCGTGATTGTTCTCATCATCGTGCTGATTTTGATCATTTATTTCTCAACGAAACCAAATTAATATTCACCCCCCACTCTCTTGTAAAAAATATTTTATCTGATTTGTTTTTTGATTTTTGAATCATAATTGTTTAACAGCGAAGCATTAGCCAAAGCTAATATTGGAAATTAGAAAAATGATCAGTCTAAGTCCATTGCTACTAAATTTGAATTTGGTTTGAATAGACATTTCCTAGACCAGACAGACCCTTTGGGGTCGACGAGTCTGAAAATTTAAAATCTGATGTTAGTAAATTTTTCCCATGTTGATTTGCACATTTTGTTGACCAGCAGTTTCCAACACTGGGGCATCAAAGAGCCCATGAGTATGAAAATATGAAGGCTGATGTTACTAAATTTGAAAATTCAACTTTTGTTAAGAATGCGTATAGTGTAGACCTGCTGTTTTAGAGGGGCTGGCAGTAATATTTTTGGCGCCAATGAGAGTTTTAATTGAAACAATACCAAGTCTAAAAATGTAGATACTAAATTTGAATTCCAAATTATCGTCCTGTATTTGATTTGAATGCACACTGATGTAGACTAGTGGTTTTGAAATTTCTTTTGGTGGGGAGGAGGAAGTATTTTGGGGTCCATTACTTTGCATGCATGAAATAAAAATAAAGCAGTAGAATAATGAAAGCGTTTCAACTTGGTAGAGCCGGCTATTGAGTGGCAAATATGAATATTTGGAATCTTGCATATTAAAAATAAATGGTTTTATTTGCCCCGAAAAAAATTATTCTATTTGCCATTCAATCAAGTTCAATGTCCAATTCCAACTGTTTGTTTCATGCTGGTCTTCTCCAGAAAAAAGTTTTCACAAATTTCAGGGAAATCCTGAAATGGGTCACGACATCGAAGGGTTAGGCCCACTCACAAAGACTGACTACGCAATGCACCTGTACATCTATGCTATGCAGGATATTTATAATCTTAAAGCAAACTTCGGAAGATCATTTGTTTGTTATGCCCATATCTCAGCTTTCCTGGAATAATAAAAGATTCTTTTAATTGGTGACAAGTTTTGTTAATTTTCCTATATTCTCATATAACATTTAACGGATTGCAGTTTATTTGTCTTATGGTTCAGTGATTTTAGTGTTCCTGTATATAGCGAACTTTATATTACGTGTGAACACTGTTTATCTTTGTGTGGAATTATATTGTTGGCTTATTTTCCCACAATTGCTGTAAGAAGCCGTCCGTTCCTGAGCTCATGTGACGCATGGATATTTTTGTGTTGAGACTAGAAAAATTGATAATTTATAATATTTGAACGGAAAAGTTTGAGCATTTTTCCATATTCTAATCATACGCCACCTACTGACATTCCTGTCACAAGAGTGAATCCATATACACTATTTTCCACATCAGTAGTGCGTGCAAGGACAGCCCTTTTGTCGTCATATGGTACTTCGACCACTCAAACTAATATTTTTCCAAATAAATTATTCTTAACATCAAAAATTTGAAATACTGAATGTAATCGATGTTTAAATGATTCAACTATGAGATTCATTTGGACAGCTGATTAACATCTTGATAACAGACTTATCGTGCGTGAAAACCCACAGTTTACCGGGATTTTGATGTTAAGTTCTTGTCATTAGAAATTCCTCGGCACAATCAGAGCTTTCATGGGCGGTTCGGTGTGGCAAGAAATATAATTCAAACTCGTATTTAACTATTCCGTAATAAAGCCTGTTCCTTATTGTGTAATAATGTTTCTAATTTTTGTATTGTGATGTAATTTGCAATTATAAATACCATATGTTGTGTCATTAAATAACGAAAGTTACGAGTCTTTTTTTCCTCCTCGTGAAGATTCTTGTTTAGAAGAGATTACATTGGGAGCTCCAGTTGAATAAAATGAATCGCTGAATTAAGTCGGCGGTTAGTTCGAGCCTCAGTCGTGTAGGATACGAGGCTCTGAACGCCAAGTTATGTTCTGTTTCAACTTACGTTCATAAGTACGCAAGTTATCCAACTAATTGGAATCTTTGAATACCTGCGCTCCAACCTATTTCGTTTCGATCAGTCTTATATTTTTGAAACACGAAATTCCGTTTGTTAAAAGAACGATATACCATGTTCGCTTTCATGATAGGAAATAAGGAGTAAGTAAAGTAAACAAACAGAGGTTTTGGCCTGTTTTTTTGTCTATTTTATTACCCAATGCTCCAAATATAGATGAATATGCGACACTTTCTGGGTATTCAAATACAATTATATTTAAGTTGGGAATTTAGGGCCTGATGTGGATCTCGTTCCTAAAAAAATTGGTTGTTCATGCGATCACACAATAGATATACTGTAAGTGGAAACAAATGTTTTTTCCTGATATCATAAAAACGCAATAACAGGGAAGATTACACCTAAGGCTACGGTTGAGAGCGAAGCGCACTGTACTACCGTGGTGTGTTTACCAGGTTGGGGTTAGGCCATAATTTTATTCCGATTTCCCGTAGTTCTATTACGAGTTCGGGGACTGTTTGTGTCAGCCAAGTAAATATACCCCCTGGCTATGGGTTTCAGTCACTTTACTTGATGTAGCCTACTTTAACTTGACGTAAAGTCTGCAAACAAAATTAGTTACTTCTATATTGGTACACAAACTTCTGGAGTTCTTTATATATGTATAGCTCGGGTACTACGCAGACAGGCCACGCAATGATATTGAGATCGTCACGCAAAATACTTAGGGCGATATAATATGGCCAAATGGGGAAGTGATTCAGATTCAGATATTTTATTTCGTCATGCAAAAATCAGTAGAAGGCAAAAGAAAAACACAGTAAACTAAAAAAGACGAGAAACATTGATTCATAGCAATTGACGCAGGCCATCTTGGTTAATGTTTTGTGGTCGATTTTGTTCGCTTTTGGTCGTTTCTTTTGACTGCTACGTTGGTCATATTATTAATCCACGACTCACGCAAATTGATATTACGAGGTGCGGCGGTGTGGCTCAACGGGCTAAGCGTTAGGAATACGCTCGCCACCGCACCTCTAATTACTCTGCGTGGGTTCGCAGGTTCGAATCCCATGCAGGGAAGGTTATGTGCGAGAGGATTGCTAGACTCCTCGCCGTCGTTGGGTGGTTCACGTAACCGCTGGTCGGTTACGGCTTCCTCCACCACTAAGTTCATGCTTCTGGAAATAAAACAATATAACTAATCCCATACCCGACTTGGTATGGTAACCGGACGAGAGGCCGTGGTTCGCCATATGGATAAGCCGTCTTATCGGCTTTCCTCTCCCCCGGGATAAATATGTAAATCCTAATCCTAATAAAACAGACAAAATTAGCACCGTGTGGTGGATTGGGATACCCTAAATGCTCGTTTTAACGCCCGGTCTTGATTAAGAGCCCGTTTGAATAGCCGCCCGTGTTAGCAGGACATGAAAATAAATAAGGGCCGGTGCTTGAATACCCGCCCGGTGTAAAAGTTTTTTTTTTTTTGCGGATTTGTACCTGCGGTGCGTAGAAAAAGTTAAAATTTTCATTATTCTCGTTTAAATCATACTTGAGAAGTAAGTAAGTAAGTAAGTGTTTATTTCGACTTTCCGTTACAACAAAACAAATAGGCAATACAGGGCAAAACAGACAAATGTACGGAAAATCAGGAAAGTGGGCAAAATCTAAAAAAGATTTAAGACGTGCTGGTGCACGTGCCCATTTACCCCACACAGCAAACACATTGAGAACACATTGAAGTAAATAAATTTAAAAAAAAAGAGAGAGACACGAAAAATAATCCGGGCGTCAATACTTGACTGTGGAGTTTCAACATGGAGTGTAATTTTTACTATATCTGTACAAGGGACTAGCGAGAATTGTAGAACCCAACAAACAAACAAGCGGTGCGCAATATGAGATGAAATTTACTTGTTTACAGATGCACTCAACTAATAGTCTACCGGACGATAAACAACAATAATAAAAACAGCGTAAAAGTAAACAACAACAAACCAAGTAAAATATGACAAGAGCATTCCACGCCCTGGCGTTCCAACTTTAATTTTAATCAAAATTCATGTGCTTTGTGTAAGTAGGCTAGTCTTTTGGAAATGACAATATACGGTATTAATTATTGTAACGATCGATCTTATCTACCGGTATTTTTATGTGTAATTTTACTTTAAAAATAACAAGCGCCCCTGCTTGAATAAGGGCCGGTTTGAATAAGGGCCCGGTTAGTGAGTATGTTCAAAAAAATAAGCGCCCGGGCTATTTAACGAGCAAATACGGTATAGCGTTTGTTACATAAAGAGAAAAGAATCAAGATCAGCAGAATATGCAAGAAAAATCGACGCAAATAGTTGATTTCTGTCAAATTCCATGAGAAATGCATTACACGTCTCGAAAAAGTTGGAAGTCCATCGCCTAAACGAGAGAGCCTTAAATTATCCCGTGGAAATGAGAGAGAAGCACACTCTATATTTATATATTTCTGTGGTCACTACCCAAGTTACTTCATCCCAGAGTCTGTGAGTGTGATGCCTCCCCCTTTTAACAGTAAAATGGATAAATATTATTTATGTGGAAACTGTATGTAATTCCACGTGAGTTGAGACTTTGAATCTCGTGGGGATGATCAGGCTGCTCATAATAATCCTCGGTTTGATGTCAAGCTGACAGCTGTGTCACTCGTCGAGGGTCTTTTGTGGCCATGGCACGAACCACGCAGTTATTAAAACGAGCTCGCAGTTTGCATATGAAGGTCTTTTTTCATCAGGGTTAAATACAAAAATTTCATTTTATCTTTATGTGATTAATCAAAAAATTGTCGAATATATACTGTCTGGCTAATTTTTTATTTTTTCACAAACGCATACAACGACACGTCACGGGTGAAATGTCAATCAAAATACCGGAAACAAACCATCTGGCGAGTGCCGCGTGTTATGTTTATGGTTCTCCTTTGATTTATGAGAGCGGTTTAGAAAGTATAGGTATTAGAGTATTAGCTGCGTAATTGAATGAGTTTGTTTGAATTCAAAACTCCAAACTGCACACTGGTACCGGTCAGCCATTACCGTCTCATTTCTTTGTCCAGGTGTAGGTGATTTAACACGTTTTGTGTAAACCTCAGCCAGTCAGCGCGAGGAAATATACCAAGAAGACGGTAAGCATCCTTACCAGACAATAATAAAGCTTGTAAATTTGAAGTTTTTGTCATCAGAATATGACTTCTTAAACGTAAAAATTTCCCTTAATAACGGTATTCAGGTGTTGGTAGACTAGGTACGGTACCGTAGTCTATTTGAATATGGCAGTATGCTGGTATGGGGATTGGTTGCGGTCAAGAGTTTGAAGCCAAGTCAAAATTTTTGTTTATGTGGAGACCAGTCTGGATTTCATGGCCTTTTTGAACGAGAAATCGGGCGTGCAATCAGAAATTCCCGCGTGCAAATAAAAATTCCTGGCGTGCAATTATAGCTCACGACGTGCAAAACAACTGCACTCGCGTGCAACTGACTTTGACATCAGATACCTCTCAATACATCCGCGTAAAATTACCGGTATCGGATAAAAAATACGTTGAATCAGAGAAAAAATGGACGTTTGACCTTTGACCCCAAACATTATTTCTACAGTTTGTCGCTAATTTTGAGAGTGTTTGTGCGACTTTGGATACCGGTACTGTTCAGTACATCCGCGTAAAATTATTGGATAAAAAATACGTTGAACCAGAGCAAAATAGACATACTTTGTCATTAATTTTGGTAGTGTTTTTACGTAGAATTAATGGATAAAAAATACGTCAAATTAGAGCAAAAATGGACGTTTGACCTTTGACCCCAAACATTATTTTCATACTTTGTCACTAATTTTGGGAGTGTTTGAGCAACTTTAGATACCGGTACTGTTCAGTACATTCGTGTAAAATTATTGTATGAAAAATACGCTGAATCAGAGCCGTACTTGGCCATTGGTGCGGAGGCGATCTTTTCGTCCATAACTATTCTCACGGGATTCCTATTTCCTATCATTCAACACGATATGGACCTTTCCCCGAGCATCGACTTCCTTGTTTACTTCGTGACATTGGCCATTCAGCAAGATGCAAAAAAGACGTAACAATGAGAGGAATTTTTCGCGGGTCAAAGGTTGGGGAAAGGTCCATGGTCTTTTTGCTTCGCAATATTTCGATCAGACCAAATCTTGCAAGCTGGTATTTGTCGACAATTGTGGAGTTATAATATTTTGGCATCTTTATATTACTGGATTATTGATTTTAAAACCATTTAAACCGATTTACATTGGTGAGCAATTGCAAATTTTCGGCGTGCAAAATTGATTTCGCTCGCGTGCATTTTTGCGGAGCGCTAGCGCCCTCGGGCGTGCACCTGCCATGGAATCCAGTCTGGTGTGGAGAGTAAGCAGTAGGTTGTTTTTTAAAAAGCAAAATGTTGAAATGTAAAATCACCTTTCCTGGCCCTGATGATAACAGTGTACATTGTATTTTTTCAATATAGGACCTATAGCAATAATAATTCGATTGATTCAATACCAACAACATGGCCGACGAGTCTCAAACTGCGGATACTTTGACTGAGAAAGCGACTGAAATTTTGACGAACTTTGTGAATGAAACAGTCGGGGAACAAAATGTTACAAAGAAAGAACCTTCGACACCGGAAGGACAAGTAATTTGATTTATATTGCAAGTAATATTTACGAATGGAGTGAAGTTTTTTCGTTCTTGTCAAGTTTCAACTATAAATAAAATTGCTGCCTCTTTTCTTCTGAGCTGGCACTTAATTCAGTAATTGATAACTCTTTCTCTTTCTCGAAATAATTTAATATAATTTTTAAAATACGACATAGTTTTCAATACAAGAATATGGATTTAAATCATGCACAATAACATATACCCACTAACACTATAAAAAAAATATGAACAATAACTGAAATGTCCATAATGTAAGGGGTTTGGAAGGAGGAAATCCAATTAACAGCATATGCTTCTACTTTTCAGGCTGTTGCATATATCAGTCTGGTACTGATGGCGTGTCTTCCAATATTCTATGGGTCTCTACGATCAGTGAAGTACCAGGACAAACAGAAAGCAAGTGGTGAACAACCAGAAACGATAACTCGAAGTGATGCTGCACGTTTTCCAATCGTCGCCAGTGCAATGCTGTTTGGAATTTATATATTTTTTAAGGTGGGTGGGTTTTTTATTCATTTCATCGAGAAAATTTGCCAAAATTTGTCAAGGTTGCCCCACTCACTCTGAAGTAAAGTAGACTGATCTTTGAGCCTGGTGCAGGACTGATTTTGTGGCTAATGAAAGTGTTGAGAGCTACCAAGAGATGTAGAAAATATACTGTTGCATCAAATGATAGTTAATGTAGAAAGACACACGACAAACATATGAGGTATCGAATTCTACTTACCTGATGGTTGCTCCCGAGTTTGCATTTTGGCAGATTTTATCTGACATTCCCGAAGTATATTCGCAACACAGAAATGTAGAATTGTTAAATAGAAATAAAATTTTCAAACCTCAACCATGCGTTATTAGGTTCTTCTAATCTAATCCTTATTTTCAGATATTTTCTCAAGAATATATCAACATTGTTGTCGGAGTTTATTTTCTGGTTCTTGGAGTGTTCGCAACAGTTCATGTTCTTGGGTGAGCTTGTGTTTTATGTTCATAGTTCAGACAGTGTTGGCTGAAGAAATTTGGTTCAATCAAACCCGGATCCACCAAAGCAAAAGAAATTGGCATAGAGTAGACTATATCAGTCATCCCAACCAGCAGTCCGCTTAGAACATGTTTTTTTTTTGTGGCTCATTTTTGTTGCACAAAAGACCGCATCGCTTATCATTCATCGTTACTCTTCATCATAGGATTATTCTTCATTATCTTTTCCTTTCGTTTTAGTCCGTACATCTCATCCTGGATTCCGGCATCATTCCCAAATGTTCCGTATCATCTTATTCTAACAGAAGGAGAGGATGAAAGCAAGTCTGGTAGGCTGATACAGATAAAACAACCTTAGTTTTGTTTTTTGAATATTTTTGGTTTCCTGACAAGGCTGCGGTGTCGACATGGTTTTACTGAGTCTTATCTGGAGATGTATTTTTCAATTTCCGGAGTAGGCATTTTAAATTTGGCAGAGTTGAATTTCAAATTTCGATGTGGATAAATGAAGGAATTGTTCATCGTTTTTGAAAAACTGAATTTTGTGTTTTTATTTAGAAATGATGAATTACAAGTTTGATCGAAAGGATGTTGTTGGACTAGCAATCTGTCTTGCAATATCTGTTTGGTATACTTTGCAAAAGGTGAGTGTTATCTATGTGAAGCCATTGTCTTACTCTCGACTGTCTACGGCCATACTCATCGATAGTATTAGTAATGTGGGAATAAATTGATGTTCTGGTCAAAATTTTATTCCTGACCTTGACTGGCGAGTTCACGATAAGTCGTGGTTGTTCATACAGTTAAGCCGACTTATCAGTTTTCATGCAATCAATAAAAATCATCATGCTTGCAATATCAGTATATCTAACAACAAGCGTTAGTGAAACGTGTGAAAAAAGTATTTAGTTAGTGTTACCGGCTTGGACAAGAGAAAACATCTTTTGGCAAACATGCTTGTTGAAAGAACTATGTGCAAGGGGATTGCTAAACTTATATGACATAATATTATATATATTGAATATAGATTTTTTGGGCCTGTAATGAGCATTTGGTGCAGTCACGTGTGATGGTCCACGTGACCATTTGTCAGTCATGGCAGCCTCCTCCACCATTGAAGTCAATGAATTTAGAAGAGATGATAACTATGCCGCATAATTATTCATCTTATCAGATTTTCTCTCCTTTATATTTTTCAAAATCATATATTAATAATATATTACCAATGATTTTCAGCATTGGATTGCCAACAATGTACTTGGACTCGCATTTGCTCTGAACGGAGTCGAGCTGTTGCAGTTGAACAGCATTGGGACCGGATGCATTCTCTTGTCAGGTTAGTTGATTTTCTGCTCCCCTAGGGATTTCACTACCCACGAGATCCAGATAGCACAGCGCATAATAAAAACCTCCCTCGCCCTAGAGACTGGATTAGGCAGCACAAAATATTAATCTGCATGGAGTTGGGGATGGCCACCAAAACTGAATAAGCCACGATTCTTGGTCTAATCTTGTGCTCTCCTGCTCACCTGGGGTGTAATAACAAACTTTGGGAAGTAATTCCAAATCCTAAAGATTTTGTTACTTCTATAAAAACAGTTTAACAACCACCAGACCATCGCATCCATAAATCACTATGAGATTCCGAAAATTACTTTTGAATATGAATGAATAGCTGGAATATAATATGGAGGTAGTGGGCATGGAATATAACCCCAAATTCGATCCAACAAAAATTGATATTTTAACTATGATGCCAATATAGTAAAGTCTAACGCTTTAACCACTAGTCCTACGCAATGTATTGGAAAGATGCTTCAAAATAACCCAAAACAAGACCAAACCTATTCTCTCTTTTACTCAAGGTCTATTCTTCTACGACATATTCTGGGTGTTTGGCACAAATGTCATGATCACTGTTGCAAAGAATTTCAACGCACCAATCAAAGGTGAGGAAATATTGTTTTGAGCAATAACAAATATTTGTTTAATGAAGCATGACTGCTGCTTGGCCAGAGCTCCAAGTAGACATTTCACACTTATTCTGTCTGTTGCGGACGAATGCCTGAATGTTAATTTTATCTCGTTGTTTTCATTGTGCTGGTCCACTTAAGTGGCTGATAAAATTGTTTCGGTTTTGAAACAGCACCTGTGCTACTGGTTTTGCGTCAAATTCTCTGAGTAACATCAGGATAATGTGATTTATGTAATTCTCCACATGAACGTGTCCCCAATTTAGATGTATTCGATATTTCATATTCAAAAATATTCGGTTTTGGCAATCTCTGGTCGCGAGTCAAGTTAAGTGACTGGTCATCGGAATCGAGCTAATCACGAACTTAATAAATCCCACTGTAAGTTAAATGAGCTGGAATTGTCCTATGTTGGTATTTGATGAATTGTGACTTGCGCCGACAAAGTAGAATCAATGATTAATCCCTCCCCTCCCTTTGGCACCGCCTGACTGAGTTTTTACTAATTGTCTTATCTATTCTTATCTTATTCCTATTTTCAGTCGTTTTCCCACAAGATTTCTTGAGTCGTGGAATATTTGGTGAAAACTTTGCAATGCTGGGTCTTGGAGATATCGTTATTCCTGGAATTTTTATCGCTCTTTTGCTGAGATTTGACATCAGGTAAGAGAGTCTGTTGATTGGCACATTGTCGGGCCATGTTCACAACACTTACTTCTATGCGGCGTGACACAACTATTTTTACTTATGTTATTTACTTCGGAGCAGTGTCTTGACCTAGTAGAACCTAAAGCTATCAAACTAAAACAACCTAAAACCTGGAAGAAATAAAACGGTTCGAAGAAGAAATCAGTAAGCACACATTTTATTTGTGATTTTATCTGACCTTCAAATTTTCTGCTTTCGCATCGATCACCCTTTTGTTGAGTCCAACACTTCGACCAGTGCATTGAGTCCAAACTTATTGTGCATTGATTTTTTCCAGGTTCAAATCCTGGGAGATAGAAACAAATTAATGTGCATATATATCGTAGGTTCATTCTCACAGGCACAAGACTTCTCGCTATTGAACCATTGATTACCCTGCACTGATTGAAATCAATCATTAAAGTTCGATCAGACTCTTCATATCGTTGCGGACCCCCTGTGCGAAAATTCGATCCAATTTAAAGATTTGGAGCCGAAAACTAATTTTTGATAGGCTTCGAGTCTTATGGAAGATTTCTCCCATACCACATCCTGTTTATTGCTAAAATTTAACATGGCCTACTTTTTCTACAGTTTGAAACGAAACAAGAAAACTTATTTCTATTCCGGATTCATTGCTTACTTTCTCGGGCTTGTTGCTACGATTGTTGTCATGACAGTCTTCCAACACCCCCAACCAGCATTGTTGTATCTCGTACCGGCTTGCCTCGGAGTGCCGCTAGCAACTGCTCTTTTCAACGGAGACTTAGAAGCCATGTGGAAGTGAGTTTACTTTTGCTGAGTCGTAAGGGGGGAGGGGGGAATATGCAAGTAGTGTCAAGTCATAGTAGAATTGTCCATGAAAAACAATCCTGATGCTATGTGAACTTTTATTAAATGTAATTTCAATAAGGTAGAAATCAGAATTTCAATTTATGTGGAACAATTTCACCGAACAGGGCAGGACCCTTTTTTCATCAAGACTTTTTTTCACACCTACTCTGAGCAGCATACAAGTAGTCACTTATATGACTAAAATCTTCCCGGTTCAACCTTGCCTACTCAATGGGATATGAACCCAAGATGTTTCACCTGCAATGCTAATATAGTTAGGTTATAGTTGACCGACGGGTCGGCAACCTTTTGCATTGAAAGAACCATTTGGCATTTTTTTCAATCAATTTTAAACCTACTTGGAGCCACAACATCTACTCTAATGCCAGTAGCTATTAGAACTTCAGGCAAAGCACTTACTAAAAAGCCAAATGAAATACGAATGATGCATTAATTCAGTCTATGACATATTGAGAACAACTTGCAAAATGAAAAGAAAAAGTTTTGACAGATTTGAATCATCACTTTAATGCGACCCATTTTTACCGCTCATGACTTACACTTTGGAAACCGCTGTGACGTGTAATTAGAGAGGAGTATTTGAATATATGCCTCCACCGTTGATTAAATCATCACTGTTTCCGAAAAACTGCTGTAACCACTTTGATTCTCTTGAGCCAGAGCTTCGAGAACAAAGTGCTGCATGTGGTTCCGCATGTTGCTGATCGCTGCTTTAACCTCTAGACCAGTGTTTCCCAGGCTTTTTTGAAATATTTCTCTTCCTGGCTATTTTGAAACTGGATCATCAGCTAGTGTTATGCAACCCACACTCTGTCTTTTGTGCGGTTTAAGAGTTGGATATGTTTGTATGAATATATATTACAATATTACTAAATAAGTAAAAAAAAAGTTAACCATAAAGCTCTTCAACCATAAATCTTCTTTCAAGGTATTCTGATGAACCAGAGACTCCTAAGGAAGAGGAATCCAGTGAAGATGTAAAGAAGAAGAATTAAACAACGCTGGGTGATTCTTGGTGAACTTGCGCGGTGAATGGACAACAGAAATCATTTATGTATGCATAAACGAGCATGGCCCTATGATAGAGAACAGTCCAAGTGTTCAAGAGCCTCCATTTTTTATTTCCTTGTGGTGACAGTAGAGTGCCATCAAAATATTATATTTTTTACATTCCTGTTCGCAGAATTCTGATTTAACTAATGTTTCATGGAGTCTCTCTAAATGAAGCTTGAGACAAGCCGTTACCATTGTATTTATGGTCTTGTGTCCGTGGTCTATTTTTAGTTTCTTGCCCAAGACAAGGCTCTTTGCAAGCATCCTTTTGAAATATCATTTTAGTTTATTTTTCTAGCCAGTAAAGAATCTGCGTACAATATTATAAGAGAAGTGTGAATACACAGTTTTGCTGGGGAACTAAAGCCACTTATTAAGCAGTGACACGCAAAGTTTAGTTCACTGAGCTAAACTTTCTTTCTGTGTGAAGTCATAAAACCACCAGACCATCGCATCCACAAATTACTATGAGAATCGATTCTGGAAAATCACTGGAAATATGAAATATAAATTTATAGATGCTGTTGTGATTGTGATGCTGATTTTGTATTGTAATTCCTCTCTCGAAACAAAAGTCTCAAAAAGCAAGTTTTGAATGAAAATTTGCGGAATCCCTCAACTGTACTGGCAGAGCTTTGGTTGAAAACCACAAGGGTGGATCTTGGACCACTTCTTTCTCTCTTGAACGCTTGTGCTCTATCTGTTGTTCTTGTTCGGCCATAGATATTTTTGATCTTTCATTCCAGACCAGGCTGCAGAGAATTATTTTATTGCAGTAGAAAAATGTGAATATTTTATTATGTGGTGAACATTTTTATTTTTTGTGTCAAATGGGAACACTACTACTACATAGATAGAAACCGAAATTTTTTTTCATTACCGAAATTTTAAGTTAAGTGTGTTAAATTGTTGTGTAAAAGAATATTGAAAAGTAAAAAAGCATAAACACTGATTTGAGAGCTGACTTCATAACAAAATCATAGAATTGGAATCGTGTGTGAACCTTATGCATTTGAATTATTTTTATTTGTCTGGAATATGTTGGGTTCAGAATCCCAGGAAAAGATTTTTCGTTATTTTAAATTGTGCTGCTAAGTACACAAACAGCATGTCTAGAGATCGGTGGTTGAAGACCAGATATAATCCTGTAAAATTGCTCAACTCAGATCTGGTTAGTCATAGTTTTTGTAATAGATAATGAAACCACTTGTGGCTACTTTTAAGGCTCCCATTACATTTGAACCCACGTACATTTGAACCCACGACAATTGCACCTGCATACTACTGCACCTATGGATTTTTTTGTTTCACGGATATTTGAACCCAAACTTACCCTAACCCATGGGTTTTAGCACCCGCATATAAATCGAACCCGCGGATATACACATGGGTTCGAATGTACGTGGGTTTAAATTACGGTAACCGCTTTTGAGAGCTCTTTTTGAGTAAAAAAGCGTTGTATAAAAATATCTTCAGAGTTTGGCGAGCTGAAAAGGGCTTTTGAATTTTCTTGATTCTTTTAAAAGTTGAGCCCTATTTGTATCATCGGCTACTTGTTTGGTGTCGTGTTCATTTCAAAAGCTTTAAATAACTTGACAAATCGATTTAATTACTCCCTACTATGCTGGGGGAACCCCCTCACCTTATAAAAAGCATTATCTATTCTATTTCCCAATACTTCTCTCACCTTGATGCTGGAGACCCGTTTGTCCTCCCTGTAAATTTAATTTCTGCATTGTGCTTTTTCCCGACAGTATAGTGTTATTTGTATTGCAACCATAAGGCCTATACCAGGGCTACTCAACTGGCGGACCGCGGTCCGAATCCATACCTTTCGACCATTAAATTTGGACCGCGTGTGCTTGTTTATTTTGGCAGCATAAGCATCGTTTGGTGGTTTTAGATGATTTTGATACAATTTACATACACAGCTATACAGTTTGTCGTGCTAGTATCGATGTGTGCGACATTTGTGTCCATGTTTGTGACCAATTCATTGCTCTTGTATTGAATTTAATATTGAAGTTTCGTTTATTCAATGAAACTAATTTTCTGAAAAGTGCAAACCCCAGTGATTTTTAAGTTTTCTAAACGGACCTTTGGTGAAAATAGTTGAGGAGTCCTGGCCTATACTATCAGAAATATTTGTCTCAGAATTCAGTATTTTTGACTTTAGGTGATAAAATATAGAACATTGTTTTTTGTTTAACGGTTACTTTGGATAGTCATTGTTCCATTCCAGTGTTTGCTCATAATTCTCTTTAATACTTCAACATAAAAATATTTATTGCATCAAATCCGATAATTTGGTAAAGACATGGAAAACGTTTTCTTATCAACTTGAGACATGAGATTTTTTCCTATATTTAACAAAGTTGATAGATAGTAGTCATAACAACCCCAGTGTTTTTTTGCGATTTTATTATCAGACATTGTTAGTACTTGTTACTTTTTTTCCCACAATCTACAGTAGACTATTTGTCTGCTTTTTGAATTGGATATTTTTGTTTATATTCAGATGTTCATTTAGTATAATTATCATGAACTGCAAAATTCGTTATGGGTTGCAATTTGCAAAGATGTTGTTGCCATGTTTGCAAGTGAATGTATTGTCCATTGTATTTATACTTGAATGGTTCATCCAACTAGCACATATCATCTGTGTCGATTGCCACGGCTCGTCAACTATAAATATGTAATGTAAGTTGGTATGACAAGTTATGTATAATAACCATGACCCATTATTTCCGATCAATCTAATGTTTGGTGACTATATGGGGGGATTGGGGGTGAGTTATGTTGAAATTTGCATTAACTGACGTTGTAGCCTAAAAACGTGCTGAGTTGAATTTAAAAAACCAATATATATTGTATATATATAATATGAGACGTTATGAAAAGTGTTGTATAGCCATGACTAGGCTTGCACGTAATTTACGGAATTACGGAATTATTTCGAGTTAAGGAAGAGAAGTTACGAATTACGTAAAGTCCTAATTATTGGTCGAGCGCTTTCGCGATTGAAACGAGCTCTCTTCAGAGCAGTCGATTGTAAAAAATTAAAGTTTAAGTAAAAGAAGTTAGAGTTCCGGTATTCGCAGCCGTTTCTCTCTCTCTTGTTAGGCAGATGGGGAAGGCATAACGCGTCATTTACTAAACTATTATCAACTTATCTAGGATGGCCAATGTACATATTAACCGTAGATAAAGAATAGAATTGTGTTGAGACCGATGGACGTCAACACACCTGGTTTCAACTTCTTCGGGTGAAATGACTAAAGAATGTAAGAGATCAACTTATAAAACATGGTCTTTTTGTAAATGCCGTGATAATTAATGTCGCGCTTATCAAACAGCAATATAAAGACGGAAGAGAAATTGCGTAATGAACCGACGCAACTTAGTCTTTTCGGCATCGGTAAAGCGATTGAGACGGCAGAGAAACAACAATACGACGGGATTCCCGGGGTTTTTTCTGCGCGAGATCCATTTTCTATTACAAAATCTTGATGTTCTGTCACCGATTTTATCGTTATATATCTGTCCGGACTTGGCATTTCTCAATATGTTTTTCACAATGCCTCGCAATATGTCGGCCAAATATGATTACCTGTCTTTACCAAATGCGGCAACTTATTTTGATTTATCGTCGACTCGAATACCACCGGCACTCGACCAAACTTGTGTCAATCTTGGCAAATAGGATTGTCGACTTGAGTTAGAAAAATAAATTAATATTTTCATGAGTGCAAAATAAATTTCGCAAAATGCATTGTTTTGCGACATAACTTTGTATTTTCGGAGAAGGCATGTCATATAAGTACGGTATTTTAAATAATGCGCAAATAATTAATATTTGATCTAAATTTATCGCAAATAATGTTATAACTTTTAGGCCGCGAAATGATTTAATGTAGAATGAAGCATGGAATTCAGAATATCGTCAATAAGTCGGCATCAATAATTATCATAAAATGCTAACTAAGTAGTAAAGTCGGATATTGTAGAAAACGGTGAAATAACAAGTCTTCGTCGCGAGGCAAGCGAAAGTATAATCAAACGAGAGAATACGCTTGTAGTTGATTAATAAATTAGCAACCCGGAATTTTTATTTAATACGAAAGTCGTATTAATACGTTAATACGATTTTAAAAAAGTGAACTATCGTTACCTAAATATATTACCAGTGTTGGTAATGATAAAATTGATCGCATAAAATTTGGTGATAAAGTGGATAAAAAAAATCAAAGCTAATACAAAAGATAAAAATCAGAATAAAATTATTTTGAATTCACTTCTTGATATTTGTCTTTAACATCTGTAGCCGGCGTGTAGTACTGCCTGGAATATGAAAACCAAACTCCGATGTCCCATTCGGAATAGAAGTGGATTAAATTGGTTGTTATGATAGGTTTAAATGTGTGAAAAAAATATCGCAATTACGGGGTCATTACGTAATCGATTTGGCCGTAATTACGGAATTGATTTATGTCAATTACGTGCAAGCCTAGCCATGACCCAGTACCTTTGATCTAATGTTTAGGGACTTGATATGGGGGAATTGGGGCTTGCGTTATGTTGAAATTTGCATAAACTGAGGTTGTACCACAAAAAGGTGTTGGTATTCTAATTCAAGAAAACGTTAGGCATAACAAACACTCCACCTAAATGGTGCATGATGTCATGCTTTGAAACATGAAGCACTTTATACGCTTTGTTGATGAAGATGGCATATGTGTGAACTGGATAAACCTTTCTTGAATGCCTTGAAGTTTGTCGCTTTCATTCTATTTTCCTTTATTGTCGGAGATTTATTTGTCAGAAAAAGATTGTATATGTCTAAGATTTGTAGTTTGTATGGGGTGTGCGGTGTCACAGGATTATTCGTAAAACCGTTGTACAGAAGGTTCGCTAATTTTGGTTTTTATTTAAATTCTGGTAAATTCTTTAGATTACCCGCTTAATAAAATGAGAAACAACGATACGTAGTTACATCTGACAAGTCCTTGTCTACCGTAGTCCTTGTAACTTTTGCGGAAATTTTCTAAAAACCAGGTGATTTTGATTTATTTTCACTTGAAGCATTAAAACTGTTGTTATCAATATTTTAGTAAGGAGGCGACTGTAAAACATTACTCCAGCTCTTAGAGAATACAATTTTGACGGCCTAAATACTGGTCTGTCTTTGACAGACGATCAAGAATGCGTAATAAACCTAATGCTTTTTAAGTTTATGAAGAAGATTCTGTTCGATGAAAACATGACAAACTTCGACTCGGGAACCGCTTTCTCTAGAATCTAGATCGGGGGTTCCCAAGCTTTTTTCAGGACGACCCCAAAGACAACTTTCAAGTGTCCAGTGCGACACCAGGTCAATATATATATTTTTCATGAAACTTTAGAACTTCTTTCACAGGACTTTTAAGTTTGTTCATGTGGTGGTATTAAGTAAAATAAGCTAAAACCAAACAGTGATGTCACACTAAGCATAAAGCGATGCCTATGGGCCTGTTTTACAGTAAGCCATGGTACAAACTGCTAAACCTAACATGATTTGTCAAATCCTAGATGTTTTGTACATCCCACCTCTACCATACCTCTGCGACCGCATGACCTGTTTGCGACCCTATCTACGTATCACTCCGACCCAATTTGGGGTCGCGACCCCTGGTTTGGGAACACCTGATCTAGATATATGAGTAGTTAGCTAGTCAATGGGTCTGCGACTGCAATATCTGCATCGAAAAATGATTTCTCTTTCTCGGGAGAAGGCGCGTGCGCTTGGCACGTGGAAGAATTATTATATGTAATTCCACAAATCAGCAAAAACGTGCCTTTTCCGAGAGGGCTGCCAGGTCTCAATTAGCGTATTTCACAGACCACAAGACTCATTGTCAATGAATTGCTTAGTTCGTGTTTTTATTGATATATTAGACGCAAGTGTTTTTCAAGCACTACTTGTTTTGAGTGCAGGCAATAAAAAGCACTACCTACCTGATCCATAAATTAGGAGAACCTATTTCTAAGACGCAAGAGTCCGTAAAAACGGTAGTTGTATTGTATCCCTGGTTTCAGTAATCACCATAGACTTTTATTCTTTATTCGGATATTCACAAGACTTTAGGATACATTTTCTGCTTAGCCGCATTTTAGTACTGCCATCTTGCGTAATCAGAAAGTCGTTAAATTGTTTGTGACATCACAATTAATAAAAGGACTGCCTCGTGTTGGGTTCCAGTGCGCTTCGTAGGCTAGGCAACTTCTAGGTCCCGCTTTGTAGCCAGTTTACGCATGTAGTTTAGTCGATGTTCACGATATTTGGGAGTACTTTCCGGGATCCGAATCTTTAGCCAATTGAGAGGCATGATCGCGGAGGAGAAGTTTCTGAAGCACTGGATACGACGTCGTGGATTTACCAGCTGATAACTCCAACCAAGCTCTTCGGGTGAGTGTGTTATTCATTTTTCCTACTTACTTATTGTTTTGTTTAATTTAGTTTTCTGACAGTATACCAAAAGCTGCATTGACCTGAGTTTTCGGCAAGTCTCTGGGCAATCGTTAATAACATACACGCAAATCCAAACTGTAATTTGAAATCGCCTCTGCAGCGTCCGGGACTTACGTGATCGCGCGTAACTGCACTCAGAGATCGCCTATTTGCTTCCGAGTGAGTGCGCATGATCTTGTTTTAAGTAAATTTTCCCTTTAAAAAAAATAGCCCGAGTTTAAGCATCCATCTAAAAAGACCTTTTTTTAATGACTACAATGTTACTGCGGTGTCAGTTTTCTTCGTCTATCGTAGTTTAGTACCACAAACACCAGATATCGTAACGAGGATATAATTTGTTTGCTACTGAATGCAGGGTGTTTTATCCTACAGATTTGAATTAATAGGTGTACTCAAAAATTAACTCGTTGCACACTGATGCGTAAAGTGGTGCATGACCAACGCTCGTGCAGCGTAGTCGTTAATTTATGGTCTGAGTGAGTGGCACATCTATGGCTTAATCTAGCAATGGTTTTCAAACTGCCGGTCGTGAGAATAGAACTTGACATAAAAATCCTTAGAATTAAGGTTAAAAGAGGAATACGACTGAAGCCACCTTGATCGCTCATGTGCACAAAAACAATGTAATGCGTAATGCGTTGAATAAATGAGCATATCTTTTTGGTTTTATTTAAATGATTTTTAAATCCAAATCTGGTGCGTCATGATTTGTATTGCAGAAAGTAAATGTGTCGTGGGTTTTAAAATTTTGGGAAAGCTCTGTCTAGTGTCCAACTATTTGTCTGGAATGTCTATCCAACACAGAACAAATTATTCGAACCCGTTTATCCGCTAAAAGTATATATTTTTTAATTGTAACACCTGACATACTAGTTACAAGATGTTGCTGTCTAACTGTGGTCTAAAAATCCTCTTGGATCGCTTGTTTAACACGAACAGTTAAAAGTTATTGATTTTATTTTCTCGTAAAATTTTATTGTTTATTTGGTAATGAAGTGTTGCTCAGTAGCATTTATTTTGCTCAAGCCACGCCACTACTTGTCGTTTAGTATTTGAGAATAACCTTGGGTGGCGAGATTTTACAAAATTTGTTTTTTAAAATGTTCGGGTTGTTCAAAATAAGTGTTGAGAACCACTGGCCTAATATACCAACGAGAATATCGGTCAGAGACCGAAGATTTATCGATCGAAAGTTAGGGGATCCCCCAAAACAGCGCTCTCACTCCATAGTGACACCATTTTGCACATGCAAAATCTGGAGCAGATTCAATCTCGATTTCGTGAGATATCGCGTGCATCTAACAGACAGACAGACAAATACCTATCAACATACTTACCGATTGAAATCGATAAGTAACAAGGTCACGAACCGGGGGATTTTATTGTGTTTTCACTTCGAGCAGCACTGCACTGTACATTGATCGCCAACATGTATTTGTTGTAAATACACTCACCAGTAGGTTGAGCTGATAGAAATGTGGTTTTGGGTAGAAATCTCTAATCTGTCAAATCCAACTCGCTAACACCAAATCCACATACACGCAGAAAAAGACTCAAATTTAAACAAATTGCTGCGGTCTGAAATTAGCCAGCAAACGAAATTTGCTCCTCAATAAAACAGCTTTTAGCCAACCCCTTCATATCTGCGTGTCGCCCCTAACCCCACAGAGAGCAAATAAAGTTTTTGAAGTTTGTGTTGTTTTACCTATAGTAACAAATATACGAGAAATACAAAAACATTGCAACATATAAGATAAAAACAACGCTGTGTAACATGGGTTATTAATTTGATAAAAGTATACTAAAACATATTTTATAATAAAGGATTCTGGCAAAATTGCCAGAACAATTCAATTCAGACCAATTTTAAACAATAACATAAAATGGAAGTTTGGGTCAGCACATAATAGTCGTTTAGCTGATGATGAAAACACAAAATCATTGAAGAGATTTTTAGACGCAAAGCGAACTATGAAGTATTTTACATTTAATCCATTTCAATATGTAGGACTTTGGAGTCGTGGTCGACGTTTTGAATTCACGGGGTCGGAATTTCAGACTTCTCCCGTTTTTTTCCGAAGTCAAAATTATCTACAGAAACGCAAAACTATGGGCTGAGTAAGTGTTCCTTACGCAAATGAATGTTTTTGTTTTCAAAATTGTTTTTCCGGTAGTTCGAAGCTGGAGTCGAAATCAAAATTTCCTATAACCAAGTGTCGGAGTCTAAATTATTTTCAACGTGATTGCGAGTGAATTTTCCAAGACCCTGCAATATTGTTTATTCACGTTGTATGTTGATTTATTGGTAATACGTGTTGGCGAGTTAGAGATTTCGGTCCGAATATCCGAGTTTTAGCGTTAAACTAGATGAGCATACAGCACGTCCATAAAGTATATTCGAAATTTTATATATTCTAATTTTACTTTGCAAATATTTTTGTAAACGTATGATTCGTTATGGACTTCCCGTATCTTATGAGGCTAAATGATTTGTGAGCGTAACATAAATGTATGACTTGGTCATGTTAGCTCTTGTATGGTCGATGTTTAAATTTGTTGACATATTTGTAAAAAAACATACATATCCAAACATGATGTAGTTCAATATAATAATACAACGTGCAAAATTGAAGCAACGGTAAAAATAAGATATAGAATAAAAAATGCTTCGAAAACAGATCATATATTGTTTATAAGACAAAACGGCGCAATAGAGTTGGTCCCTTCCTACCTATATGTAGCTTTGTAATCTTTAAGGGGGAAGGTCCCAATTGCCTGAAACTTTGCTCAGAGAGAAATAACCTTGATTGTAAGCATATTAACAGGCATATTGAAAGCATGCCATGTTTTGTCGGAATGCCAGTTGAAATAATTTCGTTATTTTATGGCATCGTTTAGATCGGGTGTTCAGGATACGTCATTCATATTGAATTAACAGAGCGTCGATATAGTTCAGTATTCTAATCTAGAACGATGATTAGCAGATATTTTTTATTTTAAATATTATGGATAAGATAACATGGAGGAATTTTATGGAGTAAAATTGTATTATAATTTACCGGCCAAGATTCAACATTTCTAATTCAAATAGAAGTTTTAAGTAAAAAGCTAATATCTGTATTTTGGAAATCGTATGATTTTGTTTAAATCAACTGCTTCAGACTGATCCATTACTATTTGAATCCTAATTTTCTTTAGTTTCACGTATTTCACTCTGAGACAACTTGTGTTGACCAATGGTCTTTCATGACATCATTTCTTTCATGCGACTTTTGACGTCACTGCTTTCTTACGTATGATGACGTCATAACATCCCGTATGATATATATATTAGGATTCGTTAAATGTTTTTCATCGATGGGAACTTTTACTGCGTGATTGTTGTCTCTGTCGCCGTATTTGGGGCGACATGTAGTATTGTGGATGCCGTCTCCTTTATTTCGACGTCATCCTCACAGTGAGTGGAAGATGAAAGAACCTCGATACCGCTTTCGCGTTTTGAACTTGTATCTGTGGGACAATCTATAAGTTGTCCTGAAGTTTCAATGGCACCAGGGGGCGCTACATCAACTTCTACCAGTTTGGGGAGGGGTACAGTGTTTTTAGTGGGGGAAAGAGTGTCTGTCGGGTCATCAGACGGAGCACAGTGTTCTGCGTCTTTATCAAGTTGTTGTTTGACTGTCTGGGGGCTGTTTGTCTGTCCGTTCATGGGCGTTTTAGGGGATTCCATAACTTTTGTTTGTCGCTCTTGTTCCTCCATCTGGATGAACTGACCGACCGATTCGTTGTCGTCATAGTTATTACCATAGCAACATAAAACACGTGACTTCGTTTTAACTTTTTGTTGTTTTGTCGTTTCTGCTTCTCTGTGTTGGCGTTTACTGCCTGAAAAAAATGTAAAAACCCGTTTAAAGGTTGTAAACGTGGATATATTTAAAATAATTTAGACCGTTTCAGTCAATATTTGGTATTAAAACAGTTGCAGCACGCCAATGTGTAATTATTACTATGCATGTACGGCGAATTTATCGGAAAATATTCAGAATAGAACTGGACTAGGTCTTCGAGAAATCATGGTGACTAAAATTAACGTTTCTGCTGTGAAATTTCTATTTGTGGCTGTGAATGAAGTTGATGTAAAATATTATGATTTTCCGCAGAATAGATTCATTTATAATCTTTGTAATTTCTTATAAAATCTTAGAAGGCCCAAATATTCGGATATGGACGCACTCAACAATTGTGTTTGTGAAAATAGCACCAAATAGGAGACGAAAAAGTTATTCTACCTTTCAGGGGTCTGAGTGCAAGCTTCTACGTAGGTTCCAGCAATGAAAAATAAAAAGAATTTGTCAATAATTGTCCATATCCGAATACTTAAGCATTCTAGAAATCTACTTTAAACTCCGTTAAAATGAATCACATGGGCGGTAGAGCATGACATATTTGAGATTTCCCCCCAGGTTTTTAAGTCGTCTAAAATGTACCGTATCTCATTTTAAGAATAGTATATCAATCAATCAAATCTATCTTTATAAACAATTTCGACTCTGAAATCTGAATCATACGGCATGTTGAAAAAATCTTTCATGGCTTGTGGCGCCATTTTTCGGAGGCTTTCAGCACTCATGCCCCCCTCCCGGTTTATCATTCCAGTGGTATGTATGCTGGTATTTTGATTGATTGATTGACTCTAGCCCCTCGTTTTCCCCCACATTTCTCTTACTATGGCCATTTCCCTGATGTTTTTTAATCTGTCCACACCATCGATTCCTATTTATCTACTCGTACTACGATTTTCGCTCAAATTACTCTCCCCTGCAACTGCTAAGAACGAAAGCAGAAGCTCATGAAGCTTGGGGAATTATTAAATGTTTTTAGTTTGCAATAATACCTTTGCGTTTCGTTGATTCGTTCAGCGTTTCTTGGATAGTTTGAGCAGAAGCGAGAAATCTTGGATACGAATCCCGGTGCATTAGGTGATAGATCTGCATCTGTGCGTCCTTGAATACTTCGGGATCCGGAGAACTTGAATTGTTTAATTGTTCAACGATGTCTTCGCGCATCTTGTAGTCTATGTTAATCTGTGAAATGAATGATTCAATTTTTATAAGCAAGGTCCCAAGCTCTCGACTGAAAGAAAAAATACCGATAGAAGAGTTGCAAGTTTGCTCGAAGGAAGGTGTCGAGTACTCGACCAAAGGTGGAAAAAGGAGGAGTAGCAAGCGACCTCTGATAGACTAAGATTTTTATATTGACCAATAAATAGCGACTGGCAAAAATGTTAGACAATTCAAATAAACACTGTTAGGAGAATGGGTATTTGAAATTGAACGGCAGTTCCACAAAGCAGCAATTCTTATGCATAACTTCTAGTGCAGCATTGTATGGAATTTATGTATTAAAACTGTGTTTGGCCCATCTTTGTCTTGTGTCATTGTCATTCTCACGAAATGTGTTGCCCGACCTATCAGTTTTATGATGGATCCCTGCTTCTGTGACTAAGTGAATGCTTGCATGGAGACTTGTTCGGGGCAAAATTGTATTTTACTTCCTGGGCAATAACTGGACTTCAAATTGGAAATTAGTTTTGTATCTCAAAAGTGCCATGCCGGATTTTAATTTTTCTCGAAGTTTGCTCAAAATATGATTTGGCCAATTAATTAAACTCAATGAATACAGCCACATGGGACAAAATTCTGTACTAAATCCTAGCAGTCCATATTATATTAAAGCAAGACTTTACCTCTCTAGGCGAATAAACTGAAATATAATCATCAAATATATTCTGGATTAATTTTTGCATTCGTTTTTCCTTTTTCATTTGTTTCAACTCTTCACACGCCTCCCAGAATAAAAGGTTTTCTTCGGCGATCTCAGATTCGAGAAATATTCGAAATAATTTACTTCCAACTGCAAAATAAATTTTTGTTTATTTACTTGGTGCGATAAACGTGTTATTGAATATGTAAATCAAATAAAGTGTCAATGCTCAAAATTAATGGGTCCGCAGTTTAACGGAGTTTGCTGAAAATATCTGCCTATAAGCGTGACGTGTTACGTCATGAAAGAAATCAAAATTTCGAGCGAATAATCGCGTTTCGTAGGAAATTTGAAAGAATAAATGAATCATATTTAAATACTTATAAATTGATATCCATTGGCTCTTTAGTTGCGGTACAACGCTAATTTCCCTCAACAACAACAATTTAGCCGAGTGATTTATTGGTCCACTTCGTATCCACGGAGCTGGAAACTTGTTACGGACACCATACATATTCAATAGTTTTTATTGTGTCGAACAATACGCAAAGTCCATGTATATGTATATTCAAAGCCTTCACCAAATATCTTGACTTGATGGTTGCGCATTCTGCTAAGCGCTAGCGTTTTCCAATGCATTATTATTATGCGTGAATCCCGTGGGGTTGAATATGTACAAGAGAATTATTAGGCAGTTTACGTAAGCGGTGTTCGGTCACGGCTTCAGTCCATGCACCGGAAACGAATATCTGGTTCAGAATTCCATAGGGGAGGCCGTTATTTTCTATATGAGTAATCCGTCTATTGTGGTTTCCTCCTCACCGGAATAAATATAACAATCCTATCTTTTCATTCAAATCGAGTGCTTCGACTAAAATCTTTTTCCGTGTAATGATTGCGGAAAGTTTTGACCGACAAAGTCAGTTATAATATCTATAGAATAAGCTGAGTGAACCGCGTTTCCACATTCACGAAAAAGATTTTGTGCAGCTGAAGTTTAGTTTAAACCAACCATGTTTGAACCTTCTTTTGAATTCGGTCAAGTCGATTGAAAACAGTCTCGAGAGCGATTTCTCAAAAATGTCAGGTCCTGATTTTCCCCTTTCTAGCACATCAGTTGTTCCAATTTCTTGCACTTGTCTTACTTTATGAGTTAGATTTATATGTGGGGCAAATGGTCAGATTAAGCGTACGAATCGGGATTCGTGTTATATTCTGAGTTTGTTCTGGGAAGTTTGCAGTATTAATATGAAGTGAGATACATGTAATTGGAACAGGTGCGACATGACATTTTTGACACCCTCGTGACAGTTACGCCACAATAAAGCAAGTTAGATTTCTGAATTTTACGGTGATGGAAGGATTATGGTTCTAGCTGCCAAATACTTGATTCAAATCTTCGTCGTGAACACGAAAACGCTTTTATAGTTTGATGCCAGTACTTGGAAAAGGCGGAGGAAGCAGAAAAAATTTAATTTTATTCATACCGGTAAATAAAAGAAATATTACGAACATTTCAATGTAATTTACACCCTGTGATTAGACGGCTATTAGAATGAAATTGATTTTATAAAACGCTTATTCCCTTTTTTATGCCACTGGAATCTTCCCGTTTTGGTAAGGCCTACATAATCTATTGCACTTTGGATGAGGTGGTAACCATAGAATTTAATTCCGAAATATCTACCTATAATCTCAACATATTTCAGCCGCTATCGCCCACAAAATCGTGAGGCAATCTTTGATGTGGCTGCGTGAATTCGGTTTTACTGTATGTCGTTTTTCACACCATGTGGACAGTTCGGCTCACGTTTCATATTTTAGAATGTTTGTGCTCAGCCGGACCAAGTAACGTCCTACATTTTACTATGGAAATGTCCAAACTTGAAGCGAAATATATTCCATGAACAATGACTAGTCTATTGGCTCGATTTTTCTCTATATTTTAGGGCAGGATTTTTTTGAATTTTCCCTGGAGGGGAAAAAAGGGAAGATGAGACGGTTCAATTATAATATGACAAAGGAGAGTCTTTCCCCCCCGGTCTTCGGTCCAGGTCAGACATGGAAATAGTTATTATAGTTGCCATTTATATATTAGTGTTAGTCGTGGAAGAAGCTGATGTGAATCAGTAATCCCGACAAACGAAATTATTCTCACGGAACCTGCGAGCTCACGCACGATAATCAGAATTGCGATCGTAAGCGGGTTGTTAACGCTTAACACGATACTCCAACCGCCTATTGAATAATTTTTGTTCCGCAACTTGAGACCTCAAAGCACTATGTTTCGATTTGCCCATACTTTCGGGTACAACTTACCTATAATCTAATAGACTCACATGTGGTTCCATTTTACCATACAAAGCATATATACTCAAATCATGCTATTTTTTGTTATGGTGGGTATATACTTTGGCGGAAGTTTAGAGATTTGGGCAAATGGGGCACGATATTTTTTAGGGCACCCAACGAAAATATTACCTGGACTTTGTAGAAGGTTGTCGAATGATTGTTTCCATCTATGCAATTCTTCTGGTGTGACTCTGGAAAATGAATAACATTTAGTTGGTCGTGTTTTATGCAAGAATATTGTCGCTTTGACGTGTTGAACAGATAATGTAGAAGCGACTGGGAAAACTAGTTTCTGTTTGTCAAAAATATTGGTCTGTTGTGGTTGAACGTTGGACTTGACTTTATTGGCATCGGAGGTTTTGGGTAAATGTCGAAACAAGAAGATTCCGTTCCTTCAACATTAGTAGCTTCTCGTATATAAGTAGATATGAGTATAGGTTCGTTCTAGAAAGAACTTCACTGTTTGCGCATTAATCTAATATAAATCAATGTATTTTTGTCTATACATCGCCATCGACTTATTTTATTGACACCTATGCTTTTTACCCGTTTTAAACTATTCTAAGATAATTGCGTTTCCGAGTGATATCAGAAAATTTGGGGAGCGATTAAAAAATTTTGCATTCAGTAAAACGGAACGTTACAGAAATAGATTGGGGAATATGCGTAAAAATATAGATAGTTGGGTAAATACTCACGTCTGTATTGCTGACTTTGACACCCAGTTCCTTCGACTTCCTCTCGGTTCTCGGAGACTACTTCGTGTTCGTGATATCGGAGGATGGCTGTAAAAAAGCAGAAACATTACTCATTGTAGCCCACGATTTTATCCATGTAGCGGCATAATATATTATAGTGTCCCACACTTGTATTCATATAAAGTGGAATTTATGCAATTGGGTCAAATGTGGGACATTTTTAAGACATCCCCATCAATCAAAACATCAATTTTGTAACATCCAGTTATCGCTCATTTCATTAGAGAATCCCGGTATAGAATAATTTATTTTCAACAAATTTCTTAAATATATTGCAAAATATTTATGATGATGAATAAGGATTGGTGAATAAGAAAGCGTAAAAGAAGTGAAAAATCAAGAGCAGAAAGCAATGATGTAAATGAAGTTCGGAGCAAGATATTGTAATTATTCAATAAAAAAACATGCAGATACCAGGCACAATCAAATAAATTTTTTCAAACAAAGTTATTTTTGAATTCAGCCAATAAGTACGGTAACTGTTTCATTGCGTGTTTCGACAAATTCGATTTGATTAAATTATCTAAGTGGTCAAGGATACTGAGAAATCTGTTTAGGCATCACAAGAATCTTGCTTTCTTTTAAATTTGTAAAAATTTACTTGATATACAAATGAACATTAATTTTTTGCATATAAGTACCCACATTCACGTTTTTCGCACCGCTGTGTGCAACATAGCCATACGCATGATAAGGTCAAAAGTTCATAGCAACAAAAGGGCTAGGTTTCACATAATGAAATCTTTCTTATTATTTGCAAAATATTTTGTGAGTTATAGTGATAACCGTATGTTGTATATTGGTAGTTATAGGTTGCAATCAGATGGTCGCCCCTTGTCCCATAATCAGACCATACCTGATATGGGGATGGTTACTTTACCAATTATTAAATATAAAGAAGGTACTAAGGGATTGTGTACTGAATGAACTGCAGGTCAACTTCCTACTTCGGATTTGTATGTGACAGTTGCCACAAGGATACCCGAACGATATAGTATCAAAGTGACAATTGAAATACCATAACAAAATCTTTTTCTGCGAAATGGCAAGTATATATGGTTTGGTCATATTCTAACATCTTCAGACGAAAATGTACTTTTTAATCAAATTATACCTTGTTTCGTTAGGCTATGTACTGACGAAAGCTCGCAAATACACATGTTATTTCGCGGAAAGATATCGTGTTATTTTAATGTAGTATGTGAAACTTATACTTTCACTTATACTTATACTTTAAACTAGATTATCTTTCATTGCTATGAACATCAAAGTATCGGACATTTTCACAAAATTTTTAATAGTTAGCAACATTTACCGCTCGCACTTTATGAAGCAGAAGCATGGACAAATATACGGTATCTCTCTGTCGCCATCGTGCGAGCTGAAAATTAACGACATGCATAAAAAATTAATAAATGAAAAAGCAAATTTAATGATGTTGATCAAGATGTAATTAATGCAATTAATAAGGCATCAGAAAATAAATGAATGGAAACTTTAATGATAGAAAATGGAAATTATAGATGTACCGGCTATGGGTTCTGGGGAATTTAAAAACAACTCCGACTCTGGTTCGGAAGAAATTTCGACTCCGACATCGGGTCAAAAAAATTTTGACCAACGATTTATTGTAAAAAAGTTTGACTCCGTCAACTCTGAGAAAATCAGATTTTGACTACGAAAACTTTGGAGTAATTAAGCCTTCTTTAATATACAGCCAAAAACGCTTAGTAATCTTAATACTTTTTAGTTCGTGTGGAAAATTTTGACTTTTTTTTATCACGATTGAAAGTCTGAAATCCGATTCATGACTGCAGAAAATACTCTCGACCCCGGAGAGAATCGTGAATTGTGATAAGGGTAGCTTAGGAGTTCGTTTTGCACCGAAAATTGTTCATTTATCTATATAGCACGGTTGAATGGGAGTGTGGAGTCCCTATAATCGACGCCAGGCTCTGGCTTAGAATAAATTTATTTTCCGACTCCCAAGTCCAGGAAGTTGAAACCACGGATTTTTGTACAAAGCCCCCGCCACTAATGCCAAAGTCTGGGATTTGAGAAAAACACCCCTGGGCCCGGACTGATGATTTTCTCATTTTGAGCGCTGGCAGGAGTTTTGTACAAAAGATCCGAAAACACAGCTATAATGAAAACATGCCTAGCTCGGATGTCACAGCCCATTGTTGAATAATGAATTATAGCTTGCTGATATTAGGCATGATCATGCAAAACAAAATTAAAATGCAATTAGAAGCAAACTGAAAATTATCATCTCATGCAAAATAGAAGTACTCAGAGAATGCTGAAATATTATTTCTAACCAAATATCTTACTTTCACTTCATACGAGCTATTGTATTTCTCCATGTAAAATTCCACCCCAAAAAATTCACCCTTCACCTTAACCTCCATTAAACAGCTTTTTAATTGATATATTTAATTGTAATTGATCATGTACTATTTTAGACTTGCTATGGAATTTTACTAAGACGAATGTTAGCTTTTCACACAGAGAAAGGCATTCATTAAGCAGCTACGTTAAAATAAAAGCATATCCTTATTAAAAATATGTTTATCAAATTACTTAAAATGTTGAATATTTCCCATCGAGTTCTAACGCAACAATACCTGTGCTTGATTTGATATACCGAGGGTGTTGCCACCGGCATTCGATTGCCTGGTTCAGACAAAACCGGCGAAACTCCAGGTCTCGAACCTCGACGTTCATCTCGTGTCCAAGATCTCGTCAAATGGTCGCCAAGATATATCTGAAATGATAAAATAAATGTCATTATATGGTTATAACCGGTGGGAACGTTCAACATAGAAAGCAACAAAGAGTCAGTGTAGGGGAAATCACTATTCATTGATTTCCAGGCTATGACAGATTTAAATCGCATATGATAGGATAAAGTTTTCATATTTGTTCAAGTGGAGAGGGAAGTTGATATGATGGCCCAAATCATATACCGATGCGTGTGATATTTTGAAAGCATTATTTTTTGTAACAAAGACAAAGGTCATAGACTCTACTCGAGTTACTATTCACCTATGACCCTGAGTCGTACTCAATACTCGGATGCCGTATGATTCGACTTGATTCGCAACTCGGGGTGACTTCTACCTAACACTGTATTTATCACGCAAATACAGTAATGACGTAATATATGAAATATCTATATTTCTCTATGTACTAATCTCGAATATGAAACGCGATAACTTGGTAAATGCAACAACGAAATGAACAAAATAAATCAAAGTTTTTTTTCATTTACTGTAATTCCACCGTACTGTGATACTGGCGACTCGATTATAAGGCCAATCGCTAAAATACAAATCAGGATCAATATAAGCAACTAAGATTCAATCGATAAACGCCAAAACGAATTATGAGGTTCTGGTTTCATACTATATTCAGTGTAAATTGCCTCCCAGTTGATTACGGGAGAGAATTCTGTACAAGTCTAAAACTGGGACCAATGTAACTGGCATCCGCCTGGCTTCAATTATAACCATTTCAATTTGATCGGAATTATTGAACATTAAGACCAAAGATGCTGTGCTAAATTGTTGCTACCTTTCACTACTAGTAGAACAGGGTGTGAACCTTCAAATTGTGTTGTTGAAGCATAAAAATCGTTTTTTTAACAAATGGACCAACACCCATGGAAATTCTCAGTAGTCAAAGATGTAAGGGTCTCATAGAAAGTTGTTAATTTATTTATTATTTTTTTTTTTTTTGGATCCCTACTACCCGTTGTTTTCTCTGAAATTTTGCACCATCTTGGCCCTACGTTGGTTTATGTCCACCGGTTTCTGCGAGCGAGTAATTAAAACAAAGAAGATCTCATTCGTGGCTTGCTCTCTAGTTCCGCAGGTAATCCTTTTTCCAATAATGCTATACCCAACACTAATTGCCTTGCGTCCCGTTGTGGCTTTTTAGTAATCTGGCGCCTTATTCATTTTTAATGAGGACTTCAATAAGCAATAATAGAGGGCTATTGGCCCCTAATAAATATTTAAAGCGAGCGCGCAGATAACATATATCGTCTTAAACAAAAAAATTTAAAAATCATATCTTGAAAGAATGATAAAGGGAAATAATTTGATCTGTATTCAGCTAGATACTTAGTTGGTATGGCTATATTGACATTCCGAGTTACAACTTCGAACATTACCAAACCTGAAGAACCTAACTTTATTCAGCACGTGAAACGCTGATTGCGACCTCGTTCTGGACAGAGGCATAAACGTCTTAGTAGTTTTACACCAACACAATAACGCAATATCAGTGCTATATTTCATTCTTATTCTAAATTTTGGTTTAATATTATTAATTAATATTGCATTAACCAGAAAAAGAGTTTAAATGAGCGACACCATTTAAATCACCCATGTATACACAATTTCGAACAGTTGGGGTGATCATTTACCTTAATATTCCGTAAACTATTGGTCGAACCAAAACGTTCTCCCGAAATCTATGACATTGAAGATGATAGGCTTACTGCGATTGCAAATTACAATGACACTATACAAGAGAAATTCACCTAACAAAGTAGCTCCCAAACCGTGCCTCGCGAGTCTCTAGCGAGCTAATTAAAGCTGAGAGGAAAGTACGAATGGCTAGTTTGGACTTTTATTTTATGAGCGTTCATGTAAACAACAAAGCATACGTACTGCACTGATTAAATGTGCATATATCATAGGACTTTTACCCTGTAATTTAATGTTAATTAAGTCAATTTTCTTTAAAATGCCTCGTGATTTGTGTTACAAAAAGTAAAAGTTTGGGAATCTCTGCTTTGATACTGTGAAAATTATTAAGTTGCGCCTGTTACCTAATCCCTTAGCCACTATACATCGCACCTATCACTCGTTGCCGACTTAAACTGAACATATGGCTTGGGTCGATAAAATCAATGAAAATTCAAATTTTAATGAAGTCAAATTTCAAATTATTTATTTCGCTCGTAGAATTGATTGGAAAAATTAGGTTTAATTTGAAACTAATGGAAAATCTGAATAAACCGGTTTAAAGATAAATTAAGAATATTTTTACTCATAAATGATGCAAATGATCTACTGCTGTTCAAAATACCTGCGGCAAAAAATATATTTTTGTATATGAAATATATATCTAATTATACTGAAACATAGTGTTAAATAAAATAAAATTTCACAGATATCGCAAAAATGGAAAAATACCAGGGAGAACTTTTTTTTTATTGAATAACATGGACGAATCACAGTATATTATTATTATAGTATATTATTATTATCATCATCGTATATTATTATCAAGGAATAGGTTTCTGCCTGTTGTGGCCCTCATTTTTATATGTCGAATACTGGCGTGACAATTTCTCATATGAAAGTATTCTAAATACTCTACGAAATCCTGTCAATTATTCGATGAAGTCGTCATTCGATTCGTGCTGTACCTCTGGTCTGAAATGATATTACCTTAATTTTTCTTTCTTGGGTTTATGCCAATGCAGTGGTGTTTAAAATTTAGTTTATTTTATAGGTTCTAGAAACGCAGAGACTGATGTATGGGAAGCTACTAGGTTAGGAAATGCTGTAATCAAAGATTCACTTACCAATAATTAGAAATAGGAAGTTTGACTAGGTCGCATTTAGTAACTGGCAAATAGCGTAACTAGTGCGCTGGGTGGCCTGCACGATATCAAACAACCGAAAACAAAGTATAGGTTTTAGTTTTGTTAAACTTAAGACGCTTTGACGACGAACAATATTTAAAGACTGCACCGGACATAACTAAGCCTTAAGTAATTAATGAAGTGAATTAACTTATCGGGCCACGTGAATGTGGTGCCAGCGGGCTTGGCATATTCGCCAGGTGGCCCCAGGGTGATACGCAGTAACTCTTTATTTTTATTTGTTCCATTTAAATGGAATACCGGTTTCAGTATTATTGAGTTTGCATGCAGCTGGGATTTCCGCTCTCATAAATATAAGAATTTCATATTTATCACGAAGGAGAGAAAAGTCGAGTAGACGGCTTCATTATATGGTGAACAATGTCCTCTCGTCCGGTTACCAATCCATGTCGGGTATGGGAATATTTAGTCAATTGATTGTTTCAGTTGCATGGACTCGTGAAATACGAATCCTATCCTTATATTAGGTAGTAGGGCCGTGACGAGGCCAATATGATTCAACTATTCAACATTTACCTGCTGCTCAGGTGCAAGCGGAGGTTCTCTCGATGAGTTGCATTTGAAGCATAAAGTTCTGGATATCCTATTTAGGAAGTTATCCTCGCCATCTCGTGACGTCATCGCTATTACCTCACTAACCATGTGCCCTATGTCATATGCGCCTATGATTATTCTAGAACCAATCACAAATAAATAGTTCATGAATAGAATTACTCGTCATGAGATATGTTTTCACGCTTGCACTATGAACAAAGCTTGGCGCTCCAGAAGTATGTGTACCAATATGGAGGTAACTAATTCTGTTTGCATACTTTACATCAAGTTGTGTAAAGGGACTAAAACCTATGAGTCGGGGTATATTCACTTGACTAACACAGACAGTCCCCGAACTCGTAATAGAACTAAAACAAGAAAAATCGGAATAAAATTTTGCCCCAACCCTGACCTGGCACACATACTACGGGAGTACCCAAAGCTCTGTCCAAGCTCTCACATAAGAATAAATTGCATGAAACAATGTGCTTAAGATAACAGTAATACTCAAGCCCGACCGACCAGCTCGGAACGCTTGTTCTTGTATCTTTTTGGCCTATGATAGCATAATTCTGTCAGACAGCTCATGATAATTTGCTATCAGTGCTATGGAAAAATTTACCATCGACTTGAAGTTAAATTTGGAAAACCGACTCCGGTAAAAACTGCCAAACTACGACTCCCCAGCCTTACTTGTAATAAAGACATAATTCATATTGTAGTGAAATCATTTCTTTCTATTTCCTAAACATTTGCCAACTTTGCTACATTTGAGTGATAATTGCATTAATTTTAAAGTCACAGAGTAGTAAGATGGTGGATCTACATGAATCACTTGGGCTTTAGTAAATCACGATAGATGCGTTGATTTGTTTCATTCTCGTATGAAAAATAATACTATATTTGAGCCATTAAACTTATTCTATTATGTTTATGCTAGTAACGTACAGCTGAAACAAATTAGCTCAAATTAAAAGTCAGGTTACCATTGTTTCTCACTTTCTCACATTGCAATATCAATTTGTCAGTCTGAATAAAATTCCTACCTCAAGTGATATTCACCTTTACCTCTTATTTATCTATGATTCAAACCAAAAATATCAAAAATTTACGATAAGTTGGGTTGATAGACATTTTTGGAAGCCATTTAAAATCCTTCCTACTATAGGCAAAATAAAAGCTGCTACGTATATATATCCAATACCCATTCATTTTTCTGATAAACATTCTAAATTCACAGTAATTTAGTATAATTACAGTTACCAAACAAGGCAAAATTTTAGGTGAAAGATCCGTGAAGCTACAATTTCGATGATGCATTAATATGTCTAATATCACGATGCAGTTAAACACAAAACCTTGACTGTCTAAGACTATATTGATAAACTCTACAATGTATATTTTGCTTCATAAAAACAACATTATTTTGACGCATTCGTCTGTCGAACCTTACTTCCGCGTAGGTATGAAATGAAAATAAGCGAGCTTTAAATTCAACACGGATGCCATGTAAAGAATGGCCATTCTAGAGATGTAATTCTGCTTTTCGA